CATCAATTTGCCAACATTTTTCCTGACAGAAACTCTGAACATTGAAATAAACCTCTCGCGCTTAAGCCTTTCACCATCAATACGAGAATTCGAATAGCGGTACCAGTGTTTTATGTGCTCATTTTATCGAGGAATATGCTCGCTAAACTATAGAACACGGCGGCGCGATCGATAATTTTATCTGTTCATACTCAGTAGAAGAGTAGACCAAAACATGTTTCACGATGTAAAATCAAATGGAAAGACAACAGAGTAAACACAGTGTGGAGGATGCCCTTAATCAAATACTGCTACATCAGGCGATTTCTTTTTGGTAGCCAATTTTCTTTTTGGCAAGATTATTTCCTTCTGAATGAAAACTACACTTTTTTGAAGTGAAGTTGCTGACATTAAATCGAAAAAGGAGTAGTTCACTTCAGTCTATATAATTGATGTTTCTGGAAATTGGCTAAATGGTTTTGTTCCCGTACCTTTTAAAAAGGACTACTGGATTAGGATAGGATGCCATTAACTAAGAGACAACCGACCACGCCCGACCTTTGAATTTTTTGAAGGATTGCATGCCTTCATGAAAACTACGGATCTAACATCCTAGCTACACAATTGTAACAATACTCCTTTCCGTCTCATTTTAATCATCTGTTCCACACAAATCATCGACATTGTAAATTATGAATCATATTGTTTTTATAATTCAACGAAGTAAACTATATACTTAAAAAAGTGTCCTTCCCATTTTGATTATTAATGTGATGCCAAGAACATTGTCACGTCGCAAGTCAAGAGACGCAATTTGTCAATATAAGTATTGCTCTATATATCCTCGAATAAAAGAATAGTTCATTTTTCTTATGTTAATATAGTTTAATATCGTGAGCATTTTTTTTTCTTGCGAAGGAAAATGTTTATTACGTACGTATCGCTTATTCTCTTTTGGTTATGTCTAAGCGTCCCATTCGTTAAAAGGAATTTCATCTTCTCCACTTATATTCAATTTCTGCCACCAATATTTTTCGAGAATAGAAAAATGGAAAAAGGCTTTTTAATACTCTCTTCGTCCCAAAAAAAAATTCATATTGAGTTTTCAAATTTGTACTAAAAATAGTACAAAATCCAAAACTCAATGTGGACTTCTTTTGGGGGGAGACGGAGGCAGTACAAGTCAATTTTGAGGAGATGTTCGAGTTAGTCTATAGTTGTTATACTTTTTAATGCCCCTATGCTAATTAATTTAATTTATCAGTTATCAAGAAACTTCAGTTATGGAGCCAAACGTTCATACATTAATTTCAAGCTAGGTCCGTTTTCTGAATCAAGTAGCTAGCAATTCATGAGAAGAACCCTTCATTAATTCAACAAAGGTTATAATAACAATCTCACGTTTTATTTTTTGTTTTTTGTTTTTGGATTTTATGGAAATAATCCATCGATCAAAATTGGATCTGGATCGTTCAAACGTCGGCTCTATTAGGATGGGAATGTTGACTCTTCTGGCAAAAGAAAGAGATAGAGGAGCAGAGACGTGACTTAAACGAGTACCATATGTAGGAGTTAGGACCAAGGAGTTGGGACAAGAAATGAAGAAAAGTTAACAAGAATTAATGCACCAATTGCTTAATTATGTTTGTAGAAAAATCAATTCAGTGAGTGAATAATATTTCCAATAGCTAGGTTAGAATTATTTTTTATTATTTGGGGACTGTAATTAAAGAAAATTCTAGAATATAAAACGAAACTCAAACTCCAATATTCCAAAACCCACAAGAATGATTTTTACTACATACATATAAGTTTGATCATATTCAATTGCTTCTAATTTTGCAGGATAGAGTCTACGTATTTAGAGATCAGAAAATGCAAGAAATAAATACCTATAAAAAAAAACGTGTAAAGTGATAATTTTAGGACATGAACATTTTATATATATATATATATATATATATATATATATATATAAGCCTTTATGATGTATCATCAACAGATTTATATATATAGCTTCTATTAATTCATGGACCATAGACTAAAACTTTATTAAGTTTGTAATATTATTGGATTCTCCCTTGCTTTTACGTAGAGGCACTGGGGTCCTAAATGAACCCCTAAATATCTAAGACAGATGTATGCATTGACTAATTTAACATTTTATTTATAATTTATGAGCAGTGATGTAACTCTTAATTAATCGAAATTTGAATGTCTAAATAAATGGTATGTATCAAAAAAATTATAAATTTTACATACGTACATCAAATATTTAAATTCCGATCAATTTATATATGTGATAAATCACTATGTACGCTATATGATATTATAGCTGTGATCCGATCATTTGTAATTGGAATTTTTTTTTTCTTTTACGTATTAGTTGTACTTGGAACAAACCACATGCATGAAAATTAATCTTAAGGCCACCTTCCAATTGGTTAATGATGGCACTACAGTATTCAAAGGTGGTTAAACATTTCTTTTTTGAAAAGGGTGGTTAAACATTTCAATCAATATATAGTTCAACTAATCAAAACTCCATTGTTTCATAAAGAAAATGAATTACTTTTCTAATTTTGACACTCTCTCCGTCTCAAATATAAAAATCATGTTTGCTGAAATTTAGCAAACGCGATTCGTAATTTAAGTCGGGAAGACCAAAAAGTATATCGGTAGTGTTTATCTTTGGATTTCAATGTAACTCTTTGTGTCATATTACCTTCGTCTCAAAAAATAGTTCACATTGAGTTTTTAAATTTATATAAAAAACAGTACAAAACTCAAAACTCAATGTGGACTATTTTGGGACGGAAGAAGTATTAATTTTAACATACTTCAAGGAATTTACCCACTTTTTAATAAGGTTTTAAGCGTTACCGAACACAAAGTTTTAGTAGAGAATGTAAAGTTTTTTAATTAATTATGAAGAAAACACAAGCGCTAGTATAATAAAAGTGGTATCTTGACCCATATGCTTTAACGTGTGTTACATTGTCATGCAGATTCGATAGCATCAAGAAGTCCAAAATATCAACACCTAAAATACTGTTGTGATTTGTGAAGATCACAAGATGACAAATAACATTACATAATCGATGATGTTCTAAATTTCTAACTGATAAATATCAATCATCAACAAAGTAATCAATAACATGGACTTATATACATTCTTTGATACATTTTTAGTAGATTATTTTAAATTTACGTAACAATTAAATTAATTCTCATTCGATTTTTATGAACTCTCAAATCAAAATTTCTCAATACTTACATGACCATGCAAAAACTCATTTAACTTGTAATTAATTGTAAAGATCACGTAAAGGTCTCATAGCTAGATGAATTTGTGTATCCAACAAATCATGTAGATAGTAACTATATGCCATGCAAATAATTAATAATAAGATTATCACTAATCGCTCTTGTATTTTTTTCTTTCTTTTGCTAAATTCTCTAATAATTTAGAAGTACTTGGGAACAGTAGGAAGTACGTACGTTTTTTTCTTGCACAATTGTTGAAATCAAACCTTAAATTTGAACAGCATTCAAGAGAAGTACAAAAATGTCAAGTCAGCTGATCAAATTAATTAAACATTTTCTAGAAGTAGAAGCTTGCACCCCCAGCAACAAAACAGAGTCAAATTTCAATGGAGTCTAAGTAAAATAACAACAAAACAGGACGTGAGAAAACACATCAACAACACACACACACACACAGAGTATTTAACAAAAGTCATTAAAACTTGTTGTAATTTTCTGGTGTTGGAAAGCCGGGGAACAAAGGTAGGAATGCGACTGAGGAAGAAGGCCTGTCCTGGCATTAGCAAATTTTCTTCTTTTTTTTTTTCTTTCCAAATTAACAATTAAAATAAAAATTTTAAAAACATTTTGTATTTTGTCTTGAAGCTAATTAGCCCAATGCCATGTTTTTTTGACTAGCAACAGAAACGGGGAATCTCTTGACTTCACAGCCATCCCATAATCCACGTGGTCCATTCATCTTCAAGCTCTTTTTGTTGTTTTTCTATTTTCTTAAATATTGATCAAGATTTCGATACAAGACTAAATACCTAACTAGCATTTTCAAAACACACATAAACATGTTTTTCGATAATGTAATAATCTGAAAATACCCAGCTATAATCTCACACGTGGCTGTTTTCCGACATTGATTTTCTTTAAACCTTCTCGCTGTCTGTGTCCGATTTCAAAATTCTTAATTTTAATTGTTCATCCTTTAAAATAATCTAAATGGCTGACCCCAAAAAAAATAGAAAAACAAGAAAAAGGAGATATGAACGAAATCCACACAGATTGGAGTGAGAAAGCATGCATGTGGTAGTAATGCATCACCAAAGCAAGCATTTTAAGCCATGCATAATATTATCATGTATTCCCACTACACCAAACCTTCGAAAAAAAAAATGAACATTTTTAGTAATAATGATGTGAATTCTACAGTATACCAACAAATCCAAGTTAATAAACTAGTCATTCCCGCCCGTCCAATTTACGATGCACAATTTAGAAAGTAGTTTTGACTTAAAATTATAGGACCGGAAATGTCTAAGCGATTTAGATCTATATTTAAATGTTAGTTGATTGTAATTACCGACTTAACCCAACAAATGCCAAAATTATCTGATAAAGATCATAATTCATGAGAACTAGTGGTACGTACATTCATCGTTAAGATTAAGTAAATTAATTAGCATGTACAATCTTCCTCAAATAAATTGTAATAAGAATAATAATTATTCTCTCTCACACATGCATGTAATAAATCTAGAAAGGTAGTACTATATAGAATACACATGGCCGCCTATTTTTGACAATAAAATAAAAAAAAATGTTGATAGACAAACAGTCCAAAATTAGTCTTAAGCCTAACACCCTAAAATTAGTTTCCTGATCTGTCCTCTGGCCAATCCAAGATAACCACATGTACAACGTAGTCTTGTCCCACTTTCCTTAACTAACAAACACACACCATAGATTTTATTCATTGATGATGACCTTGATCAGAAGAAATGGAAATTCTCCTCTCTTCCAAAAACCCATTCATTATAAATATCCACCCCTTTCATCTTTCTTGACTTCCCCTCCCCTTTTCTTTCCTAGATCCTTATCAAAAAGGGTTCTCAAAAAAGTGTAGTGATTAAAAAGAAAAAAAAAATCTGGAATAACAAATTATTAGGTATGGTCTTCCCTTTCATGAAGAACAAGTCCAAAAAAACTGTCTGTTGTCCTGAGGATCAGTATCATCATCAACACCACCAAAATGATGGGGAAAGCACATCACCTCATGAGGAAGTCACAGTGCTTACGGTTTGGAGGAAATCACTCCTTTTGAGCTGTGAAGGGTTTACGGTGATCGGCTCCGACGGGAATTTAGTCTTCCGGGTGGATAACTATGCCGGAAGATATCGTCGGCCCAGCCAAGTTGTTCTGATGGACGGAAAAGGAATGCCTTTACTCACATTGCTCCGTCGGAAGGTGAGAAAAATTAATGTACATCTAATCATTAGCTCATCCCGATTTGTTTACTTGATCAAAATGGTCAAGGCCCTCTAAATATAATTACTAGTGAAAGAAGAACTTGATTGATATAATTTTTGGTTAGTTCATTTACAAGTTAGGTGCTAACAGAGAGTTTTTTTTTTTTTTTTTTTTGCACTTTTTGTGACACGTCATTTGCTAATTATAGTTAGGTTCGTAAAAAGGATGAATTTGTTGTGCGCTTTTTTGTAACACGTTTTTGGTAATAAGAACTTGATTTTGGGTTGCTTTATTACTTTTTTTTTTTTTTTTTTGCTGATTTTGGGTTGATCTGTGGATTGAGCAGAAATTCGGGCTGGTGGACAATTGGCTGGTATTTGAAGGAGAAATTGAAGATTGTAGTGACAAGATCATGAGTTCTAAAAAGCCCATTTACATCGTGAAGAAAAACTATGTTTTACATTCTAATTTCGGGGTATTGGCGTATGTTTATAGAGGAATGTCTGAGAAAAGACATTCATACGTGATTGAAGGATCATATGCAATTAGATCCTGCAAAGTGTATGATGAATCAAGAAGAGTTGTTGCTGAGATTAAGAAGAAAGAATCAAGCACAGGAGGCGTAAGCAGGTCTTTTGGTTTAGAAGTTTTTCAATTAGTTGTGCATCCAGGATTTGATTCTGGATTTGCCATGGCTCTGATATTACTGCTGGATCAAATGTTTACTTGATTCATTTTTCCAGTGTTTCATTCCGCTTCGGGGAATGTGTATATTTGTTATTAGTAATTCCTTTAGTCAAATTTGTTGTGAATTGCTTAATTTAGATTTTCTCCTGCTAAAAAATGACTGACCAGTTTAAATTTTCATTTTTATTACAATTTGTATAAGAGAAATGTCAAACTAGACAATAATTTCGAAACAGAAAGAATGGTTTATTTTGTTACTTTGGAATTATTAGATTATACTACTTCTATTTCAAAATGATGGCCATGTTCAACCTAAAAGTAAGCATTATTTTGGTTACATTACTGCAGAAAAGTTGAATAACAGTTAAAAGAGGAAGGTAAAATAGGAAAGTAGTCGGAAAAATTTTGTAAATATGTGAAAGAAGTCTAAACTGCCTGCTCTTTAGCTTAACAAACCAAGGAAAGTTGCAAGGAAACAAGGAAAGAAGATAGTACCAAAATTAAGCAAAACGTACCTAGTTAGAACTTGTAAAAGAATGGTGGAATCAGAGAAGCAAAAAACAATGTTAAAAAATGGAGATGCGGGGTATCGATCCCCGTACCTCTCGCATGCTAAGCGAGCGCTCTACCATCTGAGCTACATCCCCGGATTGAAACATGGATTGAATGGTTAAAATTTAAACGGACAGTCCGATCTCCTTTCTCAAGATTTCAACATATAGAGACAAAAATTAAAAGAGTAATAATCTGAGCACAATTTACGGACCAAAAGTTACTATTTATATAATACTGGTGTTGTGCTGGTCAATATAAAAATACAATTCAAATGATATTCTAAAAAATGTGATAGGAAAAATTTATTTGCGAAATTAATTTGTTTGTAATCTAACTTAAAATTGAATAAATACAACATATCTAATGATTTTAGAATATGATGGTTATAAAGAAAAGCCTCCATATCTGAGTCTCCAACAAAACCCTACATGGGTTAAGAAAGCGATATTCAATTACCATGATTATCTAAGTATTGCTTGGATATCTCTAGATGCACCTCACTATCCTTCACCTTTGCTCTTGTTCATTAATGAAAACTGATTTAGGCTCAAAGGCAAACATTCTCCCTATCGATATATAAATGTATCATCGGGCAACTGACCCAAAGTCAGATAAGCACACTCCTTTTCTCAGTTTTTATCACTACAAAAAACCCTATTGTTATCCACAGTTTTCAACGTGTCGTAGATAAATCGTGGGTAATTAACCACGGCATAACCACAAATTATCCATAAAACATTGATCAAGATTTGATTTTAACTTTACCCACAAAATACCTACGATTTACCCACCAAATTACCCATCAAAAAAAAATTCATAGGTACACGGTGGGTAATGTTTTTCTGCCAAATGATTTTACACGAATTACCCACGAAAACTATTGTGGGTATTTACACACAAATTATGTCGTGGGTATTTCGTGGCAAATGTTTTCCTGCCAATAATTTTCCACGTTTTATCCATAAATTGTGTTGAGGGGAATTAAACACGACCCTTTTCGTGTATAAGTCGTGGGTATTAATAACATTTCCTATGATTTATCCACAATATATGTTGTGGGTAATGTTGCCGTGGGTAATTGCTTGTTTAACGTGGAAAAGTCGTGGGTCAAAATGCAATCACAAATTTTCAAGCACTTCTATTTTTAATTAATAGTTTGATCCTGTTAATTGATTTATTTGAAATAATGTATTTGTTGGAATTTTTTTTAATCTTATAATCTATTATTGTGAGAAGTATGTACGTATATGAAACTGCTATAAATATTTGTTATATATATAGATAATTACGACTTATTGTGTACTGTTTATTTGAAGAAGATAATTATATATATATATATATTGCATTTCAAAAAGACTCCTGGTGAACTATATAATCGTGACAATAAGAGTATATGTAGTATTATTACTTTTAAGTTGAGACATATATATTGATAATGTCTATGATCACAATTATGATTGGATAAATTGCGACATATATGTTGATAAGGTTTGTGGTTACACATAGAGTAAGAGTTTATTTGAAGAAGACAATTAGATTTCATTTCAAAAAGACAACTGATGATCGATATGATCATGACCATTAAAGTATAGTATTATTACTTTTTAGTTGTCACATACACATTGATAATGTTTGTGACGTTATGATTTGATAAGTAATGATATCTGATCAGTTTAGTACATAATTAATAAAATTTCAAGGTTGAAATAAAAAACGAATTATAAACTTATTTTATTAATGTTTACTAATCACATCATTTTTCTTTAAATGAGTTTGAGTTTGATATTCATTTGGACCAAAGTGGAACGTCATTTTGGGACGGGGAGTATAAATTTAGCATTATGTATACTATTTGGGTTAAAATTGAAATAAAAAAATTATTCATTAAAGGTATAATTTACATATTTTAAAATGGACTTTTGGTTTGTTCAGAAACTCTGTTTAAATATTATAAGTTTAGTCACTAGGTTTCTAGTTTGTGTGACTGATTTTGGGGATTCTTTTCTCATGTCTCTTGAACCTTTTTATGATTTTTTTTTTATACATATAAATCTTGTCTACGCTTGATGTAGTTTATTGTGGATTCTACGGATGGCTAAATGGAGGTATGGGTTGTCCAAAAATTGGATTTGAACATGACCTATATATTCTGTATTTTCTAAAAATTCAGTCCTGAAGTGATCTTTTAGGAGGAGAAATTACATGTCCTGCTACTAAAATAGTTAAAGAGGTATTTTGATGCTATGGGGATACTAATTGATGGAGGTGTCAAATGCTTTACTCATTTGCAAATTGTAAATGCCTAAATCTTTGGGCCGAAGTTTAGTCTTACTTGAGTTTGCCACTTTAATTTGATCATGGGTACAAAGCAAGCTTCTTGGTTTTTACATGGTTGGTGTTAATTCTGTTTATTGTTTTTGTTGCTGTGGTGTTTCCAGTATTTGAATGATATAGATGGATTAACTTTGGGGAATGTATGGTATCTACTTGATGTTAATTCTGTTTTTTTCTTTTCTGCGAATGTTGAAATTAGTTTTGGCTTGTGTTTAAAAAGAATGCTTTTGTATGTTTTCATTTGCTTCTCTTTGAAATGCTTTTTATGAATATTCTTGGTTGTTGTTTTCAGGGGGCACTTATGGTAGTCTTGATCATTGAGTATTTGACTAGCAAGGTTGATGCTTATACTTTGCAAATGGAGAAGATGGAAACTGTAATGGCGAAGTGGTGCAAGCAAAATGGTGCTCCTTTTCCGAATTTTGATTTTGAGGATGATCAAAGTCTTCAAGGGTCGAAAGGGCAAAATGATCAAGCAGGTTTTGATGCTAGTGATTGGGATGGAAGTTCTGAGGATGAGGACAACCACACTCTTGGTTAGCGTTGATCAATATGTAGGTGATGTGCATTGGTTTATGATTTTCATTTTGAAAATGGATGCTTTTTTGTAATTTAACAATGGTTTGAATGTTTGTTGGATTGGATTGTCTCGTTCTTTACAACTTTGTCGGATGGTGTTTTGAATATTTGATTTAATGGCTGAATTGATTGGTATTAGATTTGTTGGATTTGATTTGGTATAAATGTAAATATTAGGAACTAAAATATAAATAATTATTCCAGTTAAAAATGAACCTATTACCCACGACTTTTAGCAAATTCAGTAATTTACCCGCAGAGAGTTGTGGGTATTTTTTTTCCAAACAGTAATTTACCCACAGAAAGTTTCGTGGGTATATGTATTATTAAAAAATTAAATTAAAAAATATTAATTAGAATAAAAAATATTTTTATTTTACCCACAGAATCCGTAGGAGTTTTTTTTTGAATTGTGAAAATAAAGAGTCGATTCTCCTATGATCTCTCCCACAATGGCTTGCCCAGGAGTGGGCTTCTTATTGTGATGTTAAGCCCAAACTCACATGGCCTTTTTAGGCTCAACAAGGACTCTTGATGAAGTAATTTTCTAATACAGCCCATTTAGGAATTCCATTGGGCTTTTAAAGAAATGGGCCTAGCGGTCCAAATGCACAAAAGGTTCCCTGTTGGTCTTACTTGGGTTTCACTATTAAACACTTCCTAAATAGTTAACTATATATACCTCAAGACATTCATTTCAAAGAGTTAATTCATACTATTCATTCTCTCTCTAAGTGTGTATTTATTTTATTTCTCTCACTAAACTAACTTTAGTATCGAAATGCTAACCCTTGTCTTGCAGGTTCCCGTCCTAGTTGTTTTATAAAATGTGAGGAAACTGGTTTTTTTTTTTTTTCCCTTTCCTTTTGGCCTACGATCGATTTTATACATGATCTATACAAGATCAGAAAGTTGATTATTGTGTGAATTATATAAATTGAGCGCAAAATTAAGTAATCCTCTTCTATGAAAATTCTTTAATTCGGTTCCAACATAACAGTTTATTTTTTATTTTTATTTTTTTTTTGAAGTAATGTTACCAATTCCTTCTTAAGAAACGTAAAAGATAATTGGTTCTCTGTAACGTGAAGGTATCAAATGGGACAAATAAAGAGTAGATATAGAACTTATTTGGCGTATTGTACTTTGAATCCTCGAAGAGTTACATATTTTCTAAAATAAATTATTTAAATTTTGAAGTAAAGTTTTTTCTTTAACAATTATAAAATTTAAAAGTTCTATCCATTTTAGGTGCAGTATGACGAAACTTCTACTAAAAGCATTGATTTATTACAACGAATAGGAAAATTTATATAGTGAAAATATATAACAAAATCGACATTTATGTACGTATAATACGACAAAGAACAACTATTTGTTATTTAATCAATTTTTCATTGAATTATATATATATATATATGTATATACTAGCTGGGGGGGCCGCACGACGTGCGGCTGTGGTGCGAGCGGAACCAAGGCATGGATTTTTCATTGAATTATATGTATATATATGTATATACTAGCTGGGGGAGCCGCACGACGTGCGGCTGTGGTGCGAGCGGAACCAAGGCATGGTGGCTCCTTGTTTTCTATATGTAATATAACAAGTTTGTATTTAATTAAGTGAAATATATTATTGAATTTAGGGTGTAAGCTAGTATACAGAATTGTAGGAAATAGATTTGGTCATCTATTTGTTGCATTTGTTAGTTTCAGTATATGTAAATAAAGCTAATGTCTAGAATAAAGTATAATAAGTTTCTTTTTTTTTCCTGGCCAAAATTACATATTGATGACAAATAACAGTTCCACCAATGCATAATGATATATATCAAATTAAAATGAACAATAACAACTAAATTTATAAAAGAAACTTATTAATGGCAGTGAAAAAGTAGGCCAAAATGATGCATTTGTGGTCAGGTATTAATTTATATTTTATAAAACACAAACAATTTTATTGTTGCAGAATTAGTAAAAGATCAAGAAAATCAAATGTTGTGTAAATGAGAATTGCCTTACAAAGAAGATATCTTTAAAATCTTATTCCACAAGATGTAAGTCAAATTTGTATTTTCTGTATTACTTACGATACTAAAAACGAAAAGAAAAGGGTCATCTTCAGATGTTACTTTCCCACCTTCAAGTAAGCTAGCGAAGTTCTAGTCTCCTGCGTTTAATTTGCTGATACACTTTGGCATTTTACTGGTTAAGTGGTGATATGCTAAGATAAGTAATGCCTTCTACTTCTTGAAGCTGTCGACTTTATCGTTTCTCCTGCATTCATCCATCATTCCTCTTTTCAACACCACCACCGTCAGCTCCATGTTTCAGCTTCATATAAGCAAATTCACCTTTTAGTGCTGATCCGAAGCTTCCATGGGAGCCAGATTGTAAGGCCTTGATTGAACCGGACAAATCAGGGGTGTCACCATCAGATCATGCTACGGCTTGGAACTGTTCAAAGAATAGAACCTACACGACTACCCGCAATGGTAGTAGCTCATTTGCACCGCTTGTGAGCAGGCTCCAGCTGGTAGCTTCCAACAATTCAAGACCATATAGAAACAGCAGGGATTTGTATTACAAACTAACCTTGAGATTAACATCAATAGCGCGGTATATTCCATCATGCGATTGTTGGGGGGAGTCTGATACCATTTCGGCTAAATTCATATCTGACAAAGGTAAACCTGGAATTTCTTGCTGCTTCAGCAAGGTACCCATCAACTAATCTGGCCATATCCAGGTTGTGAACAACCAACAACTACAGAATTCTAAGATATAATGATCCCCAACTCATAAGAAGAGTGTAAGGCACTGATAAATGAAGATCAATGATGGCACCATTCTACCCCAGGATTTCAAAATAACAACTTCAACCATTAACTTAGCCCACTTCAAATACACAATTTTGGATAAATCCGAAACTCATTTATACAACAATCATCAACTCAGTTAAAAATCATTTCTCACTAAGTATAAAAATTTAAAAAAAAAATTAACGCAAAGAATAACCATTTATAGAACAATCATCAACTCAATTAAAAATCAATTCTCACTAAGTATAAAAAAGTCTTTTAACGCAAGGAAATGTAATTCAATATCTTCATTTTTGGGATTTCTAATGAATTGTTTTTGGTAGGTGGCCTACTTACATACTCTGTTTCAGATTCCCTTCTACCAATCAAAAAAACCGGTGGATTCAAAAGTTAACAGCTCGCCAAAAGCAACCGTAGCTTAAGAATTTTGCTACTTCTATTAAGTGTTAGGAGAGCAAAATGTCCTCACTTCTCTGATACTGGAAAAATGATCCAAAATCTTCAATAAGATTAAAGTATCTTTGACCTTAATTCAATAGTACAAAATCCAAATTGATTGCAATGACGACAAGATTTAAAAACCGAAGCCTCAAAAAACATGAAGTAATTTGTCCGTTCCAGATCGACCAAATCAAACACTGAGCAAAACCCAGATAATTTTGGCATTACCTCACATGCATCAATTGAAAAGGAATGAAATTAAGGATCCAATTCAATATAATTAGCAGACGCACAATAAACTCATTCGAACATCACATCAACTCACTTTAAGCCCTTCAATTTGTTTCCCGGAAAACCCCAAGCCTAAATTGCATCTCTTCTTCTATCAGTCGACGTAGAACAAACCACACAAACTTTTAAACACACATACAAAGCAGAGTAGATCCGGTGATTTCAGAAATTAAAAACCCGCTAACCTTTGGATCCGGATAGCTGATGACAAACCCAGGAGGAAAACTGACAAATTCTATTCTGTTTTCTCAGAATGAAATAATGCGGCCAAACTTTTGTTAAGGAAGATGAAAACACAACCGGCAACGTTGAGCAGGAATTTTTCATAAGGAAGCCAGGAAAAAACAAAAACTAAAGTGGTCCAATCCCAACTGGCCACATCAGCGTGTTTTACCGGGAACCCCCTTTTAACCGTGCAACAAAAAGGGGGTTCCCGCTTATATATATGTAGATATATATAGATATAGAAAGCTGTCATTCTTAGACTTATTTGATTAAACTATTCTCGTAATAATTTCATTACATATGTAAAATATTCTCAAGGTGAATAGAGTACGCTTTTTTTTTTGGTACTTGCAAGTTGTATTTTCATTTTGAAAATTTTGTATATTTTCTCAACTTTAAATGTTTACCAAACATAATTGGGTTCATTCTTAAGTTCTTGATGATGCATTTCAAAAAAAAAAAAAAAGTTCTTGATGATATATACCTTGTGGCACAACACCAGCTTGCAACGTGGCAAATCAGAGAAAGTGGGAAATTATTCTAGGGTCTAGGCTATGGCCAAAAAGAATAATAAAAAAAAGTAAGTAGTTCAATATGTGATTGATGGACGAGGTATTATGTAGATTTTGGGATCACATTTTATATATAGGGATAGGTATAATGTTATAAATAAATAGCCCAATTTATTACTAATTATTCATACTCAAGAACAAAAATATGATTTCAGTCGGAGCAAAAAGAAAATGTAGTTTCTGAAGCTTTTTTCCCTTTTGAAAATGTAGTTTTCTAAGGTATCTCGATGTTAGATATGTATGCTTTGTTATCTTAGTACGGTATCATTAAACTCACAGTCACGCTTAGTAATCCCTTTTACCCTATTAAAGTAGAAGACATGAAACTTATGTGGCAACTACGTATGCATCTGTTTTGGCTCCAATGCAACATATTTCAGATTTCAGAAGTCTTTTTGCCATGTGTAAGTCTCTTTTAATTAGAAGCTATAAAAATTTTTTTTTTAAAAAAAAACACATGTTTTACTACAAATAAGGATCAGTTACATTTCAAACGAATGGATATATTAATTCAAATTCAAATGTCCAATCGTATAATTTTTCAGGCTTAATATAAACAAAAAATAAAAATACCTAAATCCAGCAATTAAGAATAATGCCTTATAAACTAATTATTTATTATTTCCTTATAACCTCAGATTTCCAGGTATATTTTTTTAAGCCCTAAACCATAGCATAAATGATATATACGCCAAATTAATTTCTCAAAAAATAATAATTCAATTAGATTTTAATAAAATAGTAATTTAGAGAAGACACCCGGGCATCTGTCCAGGCCAAGCATCTAGTACTCTATTACATTCTTTAGTCACAATGAATCTAATTAAATCCCACAAATCACGTTTACAGCATTACATGTCATTGAGACAGAATTATTTGATTGGGTGCAGAAATAAAAAGTAACTTGTCAAATTTATTATTCACCTGAAAACTGACAAGCACAGACATTGGTACAATTTTATGAATAAAACTCATATCGTTAATCATCATCTACAACTAGGCAAATATGAAGTTCCAGGATAAACTGTATTTATACACATTTTACAGCTAATTGTTACAACTTACAACAAACCCTTCTACAAGATATGTACAGAACTACCATCCCCTACGCACAAAATCCACGGTTGCTCAAATGAGCAACCACGATGAATCTGACAGAAAGTTGATTTTCTGTCTAAGACAAGGAGCTTTATCAATCCAGGTTTTTGGCTGCAGAGTTGTTCCATCCTGCTGACCCTATCTGCTTCAGCTTCTGCCTACTACTACTACAAGCCCTATCAATCACCCTAGAGGTAGGTGGTGGCATCATGAATGACCTATTTATAATGTTGTTTTTGTAAGGTTTCTTCTCCAAATCTGAATCTCGCAACGGCTTACTAGGCGAGGATCTGATTGATCTAGGAGCGGACCCATTTATCGGCTCTTTTCTACAAAGGTTTGTAAGACAACCAGTGTCTGTCCTTTTGTCCAGTCTAATCCTAGATGAAAACACAGCATCAGAGGCTTTGAAAACATTATCACGCCCTGCTGATGCTGTGTGTGCCACTCCAGGTATCATAGATCTTTGAGTTAATTTAAAGTTGCAAGCTTCTGCAATCTTCTGGGAAGGTTTATTTACAGATTTTGAGGCTTCCTGTGAGCTCTGGTACAAAGAGTGAGATGCAATTCCACAGAGCGTCTCAGCAGCATCCAAGAGTCTTGGTGAATAATCAACTGTTGAGAACAATTTTGTACATCAAAATCCAAAAGAATGAATGTGTATTAAAAAATATAAAGCAGTTCCAATGAAAGACTCGCAAGTCCCAAGCAACATGTGCAGTTATAGATGCTGGACCAATTTGGACAAGTTAAACCCTGAATACTAAATAAAATGGTGTCTGAAAAAGCTTTTTATTTTGCCAATAAAGACGAAGCAGACCAAAGTTGACAATGAAGCCTCAACTCAAAGCTGTTCTTGTATCTAACTACAGAGCAAGAAAACAAACATCAGGGGACATATCAAATAAAAAAAAAGCTTCGAAACAACTAGATGGCTTTATATCTGCAGTACCAGCAGAGAGTCACATTGGTTGTAGTACAGGTAACCATTCATGCCTACGTGCATTGGCAAGAGACAAAAATACCATACAAAATGGCTTGGCATTGAGAAGCAAAAGACATTATGGTCATATAATGGATCATAGAGCTATTTACCTGCAGGTTCCATGGAAGCTGAGCATGCTGTTGATGTTAATTCAACTTCAGAGGGAGAAATGCTCACACATTTGGATGAGAATCTTTCGACTCCAAGGGGTACAGACTCTAGCTTCCCCACAGGAACTAGTCTTTGGTCAAAAGTGAGTGATTGAATATCCACCAATGAACCATCAGAATCTTCAGAAGGAGTGAGAGTGTTTCCCACTTTTACCCATCTGCCCGGGCATGCAGTCCTACTAGCAGATATTCTAACTGCATCAGCCCCGGACTTTGAACTCCCAGAGGAATTTATGGACCAAGTAAAAGGCGGCAAGCCATTTCGATAAGATGTGCTCTTTCCCATACGTAGCTCAGTTGCATTTCTCGAAGATGAAGCTGGTTTTACCGCATCAAGGAGCAAAGAGTCCAGCTCCTTAGATGGGGGAAGCGCCAGTCGCTCCAACACATCTCTTGGGGCAATTAGTAGAGAGTCGATAGTGAAGGCAGGTGATTTAACATCTCCAGAAGAATCCTAAAATCCAATAATCAGGGACGTGAGACAAAATTAGATCCCCATGGACATGCGACAAAATTAGAACTAGTAAGGCACGTGATGGAGATAGCCCAACAAATTGATCTATGTATTCCTAATGCATTAGCAGGGGGAGGGGGAATCTATGTATTCATAATGCATTAGCAAGGGGGAAAAAAAAGGTGATGAGCAAAGAAGATAAAAGTTCTGCAAAATGTAGGAAAAGACACACATGAACCTACTTTACCAAAAAAATAAATAATAATAATAATGAATAAATAAAGATCAATTTAAATAGGAAAAAAAAAAAGCAAAGGGATGAACTCAGTTGTGCTAATTGCAAAATTTATGCATTTAGAAGATATGGAGCTCAAAATAGCTTTTTATCAGCTAAAGTTCCTTCTATTAATTTCTAGTTTACACCAGGAACATATCCAACTGACCTTATTGGTAGAAGGCCCACTTACGGTGGAGGAATCAGCTTTACTATCCATCCTACTTGATGAAGAACTACCAGAGCTAATTGGACCAACTGAAACCTTCTGATTGTAATTATTATCAACCTCCACAGAGTTCTGGATAGGGACAGGACTCCCAAGCTGAAGAACAGCACAGGCCTTTCTAACTGAATTCAGAAGATTCTCATTTAAATCTCGAACATCTTTTCCCTTTTCATTTTCCAATCTAGGTCTCTTGTAACTGCCATCAAGTAGTGCATCAAGAGGCAGTTCATCAATGGGCTTTGCAACATCAAATATGTCTGATTTGGAACCATAGGCTGCCGCATCAGAATAAACCCATATCAAGAGGACTGATATAACTTTGAGGTGTGACAAAAGTTGAAAAATAATTAAAAATTTGAAAAGACTACCCTAAAAGGACTAATTATTAAAAAGGTTTTACCAATCCATGGAAAAGCAGCACTTCAAATAGACAAGCACAGGTAAAAGCATAGAAGGACAAGAGTGTTTCCAATATTCTGCATGTCAAGATATTTACTATAAAGAGAGAAGAGAAACTACTAGCATAATAAATGCTACAACTGACACTTGAGTAGTATTTACACGAGTGTAAGACTCCACATCACATTAAGCAAAGGTCCAGTAGATTTCTGGGGCCATAAACCTGTAGTTTTATCGAAGACTAAGATGGTCAATTACAAAGAACAAACAACCTGGTCACCAGGATATTCCTGGGTTAAAACCGAATTCATTCAACAGCAAATTAATAGTTCCTGCTGCCTTCCTCAAATGGATGAAGAAACAAACAGAAACAGATAAGAGTAGATGAATTCAAAGCCACAATTGCTGACACAAGATCTTTGGACCACACTGAAAGCGAAGGCCTGGGAAATAAGCTATTCAATATTAGCATCAGCCCAGCTAATCTTAAGATGTTGAGACCATAGTAAAAATAGAGGGCTCAGTCTCCACTACCTAAAAGAAGTGACATGCAGAAATTAACAAATTTTGATTTTACATTGTTCACCTACATAAAAAAAAATTAAAAAAAAAAAATTAGTGTCTTTCTTTCCAAAATTGTCAGTTCACATGATAATGATACCGTGAACTTTTATGACAATAAACTCAAGAGACAACTTTGAGAACAAGTTAAAAGTACCATAGATCAAAAAGCATAGCTAGTCCAAATAAAAGCACTTGCATCCCTCCATGATGCAAATACCATTCATACCAACAGATCCTGCATAGTCCAATATTCTATGTGGAAGAAAGTGAATGAAGCTTAAGCACTAATCCCATTCCAAAGATTTTAACTGGCCAAAGGGCCGTTTTGGCTATGTCAAAAGAACACTTTGCCTAAGGTTGGAAAACTCAAAGCAAGGAAAGAGAAAAGTAGGACGAGATCGGTAGATGAGCATGGAGCTATCAACAGCGTAAAGCGAACTTGACCGAGTTGTCAAACACAATATCAATCAATTTTAAAATTCCACGGCTCACTAATGAGCCAATCATTGAGGAAAAACATAGTTTGTAATGCACAAGTCTTGTTTTCTTACCAAGAAAGTTCCCGCCTCCACCAACGGAGCTGAAGTTGAACCCATTTTTCAGACAAAACGAATCACTTCTGCTTCTAGGAGTTCTACCATTTCGTTTATCAGCACGCTTGACATTTGAATTGCTCTTTTGCTTAGTAAGTTGAGCTTTCTCTAAAAAAACGAAGATTTACAAAAAACCTTTGTCAATACACATTTGGTACTGTCATACTTGTGTTCTTATAGGAGCTAACAGAGCTTACAACAACAAAGAAAGCATATAAAAATCACTTGCTGGCTACAAATAGCAGCAAGCTATTACAGCACAGGCAGCTTAATCCCACAACTCTGAAGAAATGGAACTCATATCAGAGAGGTATGAAGCTGCCAGTCTGAGCATACATATTCATGCATCACAAGATTAAAGTACCAAAGTTGTGACATGTTTGAATAACTCTCAACTACTGAAGGAAACAGACAAAAGTTGCCATTGGTCAGCATTTCAAAGTCTGGGGTCAAAAGAACACCCTAACATGCATGTAAGTTGTATCAAATCAGTTTCCAATACTCTTCTCAGTTTGCTAACAGAGTTATGTCCTCTGTTTAAAAATCTTTGCAACAGGAAGATACAAAGTTCAGAGAAGAATGTAGTAGGTAGAAGGAAATTTCAAAATGGAACGTCAATTCTTAAGTGCAAAGCATAATACCCTGGAATCACATTATAACAATTAACCAATTCAAAGACCAAATCTATGTCCTCCAAGAAATTTCAGGCTTGCATGTGAACATTATTGGACTTCACAAGTTGGAGAGCCCCATAATCCTATTTAATATTGTTTGATAAAGTCATCCAACCCTATTTCTTAATTTCCCCCGTCTTGGGAGAAAAGGAAGGCGGGATTTTTTTTCTTTTAATAGTTTTCCATATATTTCAAAAAACAAATGTCCTGAGAATCTTAATTTTCATTTCATAATAATGGTAAGCTGATAACAGCAAGCTTTTTTGTTTGAAGGCAGAGATTATGTCTACAACAATACTTGGTCAGGGAAGTGGAGAATTTAATGTCATGAACTCTTTGACTCAATAGAGTTAATAGCTGGTTCCCTGCCAAATAGATCTTTAGGGTATAGAACCATGACCAAAATCTTTTTGGCGTCTTCTCACTATTTTTTGTGGAGTTTTTCTCCACTTCTTAGACATCAAACTATAATCAATGTTACATGTACTAAATTTCTTTCACAAGACCAATATTGGTAACAATCTTTATGGGAGAAGAACAGAGTGGGCACGCACATAGTGACATAGGTATTACATGAAATCTTGACGATCTCCTAATGTTATCCCCTTGCTAGTAAACAAATTTGCAGAAATTTTCATCTATGAACTAAAAGTTCTATTCCTTTGTGTTCGCATGAAATCTCAAATGACTTTCAAGCCACTGAATTTTTTAAAATTTAGGAGAAACTAGAGAACTACTAGTAAAAAGCAGCAGTTTTCTACATACTGCCTACAGCATATAGGAAACCTCTACCTTTTTGAGCCAGGGATTGAAAAAGAAAAACTCTACCTGCATTTATGCTTTTTATCGGACTCGCTCCAACCCCCGAATTGCTCTTTCTATCTTCTTCACCATTTTCACTTAACGGAAGTGACAACTGTACAACCCGTGGCCTCTTCAAAGACCCACTATTGCTTCTTGACACCTTCCCAGATCGCTGCAACTGTTTAGCCTCTGAACCAGAGATCAAAGCTTGCGAAGCATTAACTCCATGTTTCAATTCTTTGGAATTATCTATGCTGTGAGAGCTTGGCCGCTGGCTATTAGGGAGGTACCGGCGAGAATCAGGTATCTTGAATAAAAAGGCTGGGTCTGAAGCATGAGCAGGAGTTATCTTAGCAAAACATTTTGCAAAGACGGAAGAGCAGTTAAACTGATATTAATGTTATTCTACATACGTGGAAAACAAAAGGAAACCAAACAAAGACCAGGACTTGACATGCCAATAAAATTTTTTTGACATGCCAATAAAATTTTTTTCCCCAGGGTCATACACGCATCTCAAACAACCAAAGAGGAATGCTAATGCTGGCTCCTTTATGATTTCAAAAGAACTTGTATCCAAATCAAACCATTAACACCCGACCTCTTAATTCCCTAATCCCTTTTTAAATCTTTCAGAAAGCCATGAAAAAGCAGTGGATACTAGAACTTACAAAGTACAATCAACCAAAGATTTACCATATCCACAAGATTGTGTTCCATCCTTATCAATCTCACTATTGTTTCTCCAGTAGGGAATATGCCCAAATTACTTATCTTTAGTCACAAAACCGCCCACCTAGTTAAAAATTCTCAAGCACACTTCTAGAGAAAAGAAGAAACGCAAAAAAAAAAAAAACAACTGATGGAAATAAAACAACTAATTCCATTAGCAATGGAAGATCTACTAGGAGGTGAATACACTATTGATACACGAAAATGAAAAATTGAACTTCCCATACAAGAAAGAAAGATCACCTCTTTGACCATACGAGTCAACAGAGGAAAGCATTGCCGCCGAATTAGCCTCTGACCGGCCAATCTCAACTTTCCCGATGGAAGCCCCAACATCTCCGCCGCCGCCGCCGCCAAAACCCCTCGACCCCATGAGTTTTGCCGTAGAGATCACCGCTTCCGGGAGAGCCAACTCCACACCATTCATTACGGAACAGAAGAACCCCAAAAACACAGGATAAACCCTTCGTGCAAGTCGAAATCTTCAATACACATTTCAACTTCACCGGTGAAAAAGATATATTTGAACAACCACCAGAGATCAAAGTTTCAGCTGAAGAACACCAAATTCAGCTAAATTGACCTGGTAAAATCACTTAAATTGCGAAGAAAAAGGAGTATAACAACGGATTAAGAAACGAATGGGGAAGAAAATGAAGAATTTGTCGGGGCGGAGCATATTGCGGCCAGTGGAAGAAGGGTCTAGGGCTAAAAAATTGAGGGGTTTAGAAATGAAAGGTATTTATAGTTTTCGGGAAAAGATGGTAAGAGCAGATAGGGTTGTTCGTCGGTATGGTATATTCCGGTGCGGTTGTCGTCAGCTTAATCCAATGCTCTTTAGTTGACACGTCACTTCTGGTGGGGACCACTACCACTTGGTATTATCCACATCTTTACTCGAACGAATTGGTTTAGTTTCAGCTGCGGTTTGGTAGTAAACTTTGACAATAATAACCTTTGCCTATTCCTATTTTTTGTATTAAATAAAAAATTTACTATTCCCTTGAAATTGAAATCCTAATTCCTAAATTCCTTTTTTTTTTCTTTTTTGAAATGGAATCTTAAAGTCCTAATATCCTCCCAATGTATGAGCTCGTTGATTTATATGGATGGGTGAAAATGTCAGCGCAATCAAACAAAATGAAGGTTAGATAAAGAATATCGTCCTCTTAGTTTGACCATATAGTAAAATTAGAGATCCATTAAGAATAAAATTAATGTTGACAACCTTGAAAATTATTATACTGAAATATCACAAACATTTGAGAAGCAAATGTAAATTATTATATGTGACAGTTCATGGAGCTAACTGGAGCTAAAAATTTGATTAAAACATAAATTTTTAATTTTAATTTATCGAACATATCAGTAGTACTCTATATGACATAAATAATAGTTCTTTTTGAGTTTTGATATTTGTATTATCTTTATTATAAATTTAAAAGCTCAATGTAGATTTTTATTTTATTTTTTTGGACAAAGGTAACATAGTAATGACTTGATTAATCCACTCATAAAAATAACAAAAACATAACCAATAAAAAGAAAATGGTCTCTTGTTTTGCATATTGAATGTTCACTTTTAACATACTTCATAACTTTGAAAACGTTTTAAATTTCGTTACTGATTAAAAGAACAACCATCTATAATTGTCATTGGAGCTACCCTTACCATTAGTGTTAACAACGCTAGTCAGTGGACATGTCATATTTTGTTTCGGTTGACATCATCTATAATCAGTGTTAATACATGAGTAACGATATCATTTTTGCATTTGATGATGTTTAGATGTGTTTGATATTATCCTCCATTTATTCAAAATAAACACATAAAAATATTGCTAAATATATCTCAAAACACAAATATAACAAGAGACTGAATGTATGTTAAAACAAACCAATACTCCATTGCAAATATGCAATTCTTTTATTGAATAATATTAACGGGAATAATTTGCAAGGAAAAGTGAAAAGGAGTGTGTAGATCAAATCACCTCTACGTACCTTTACATTTTCATTTAGGGTTCTTACATTTAACGTTAAAAGGATAGTTTATATTAAAATCACATATTCATTATACATTTTATTTATATCTTTTGTTCCATGAGTATCACGACTAATCTTTTTAACCTGTGTTTTCAAAATCGGACCGGCCGAGGCGGTCTAACCGATTAGCTCGGTAATCGGAACCCTCACCGGTCCAGTTTTCATAAAAAATCGGATTTCGTATAACTCGGTCAAATTCGGACAAAATCGCAGTTTGACCGGAAATCGGTATCGGTTGAACCAGTTTTTGCATATTTTTTAAAAAATTAATTTTTAAATATTTTTTTAATATTATTTTAACCGATTTTCACTGATTTCGAGGAACGAATTAACCCGTTAACCCGATAAACCCACCAATCCAGTCACGTTAACGGTTCACCTTCCGGTCCGATTTTGAAAACATAGTTTTTAACTATCCACAAAGTTTCGAGTTTCAAGAAGTGCACCACACTGTGCCCTTTATTACTCTCGTCAACTCAAAATCATTATTTTCAACCCTATTTTCATCATTATTATTATTTTGGTTTTTTCACCGATGCAGTAATTATTGCAGGATCGTCAAAAATGACATTGGTCGCAATAAAGAATGATTATACACAATTTGGGATTGATTCTGAAATTTGGACTGTAAATTCGTACGATTTATCAATTCGATTGTGATTTTGTAGTATAAAAACCATTTTTTTTGCAGGTCACAAAACAAATTGATTGTTGGAGTATATTGAAAATGTAAAACCGCACAATCGCATTTTGGAAATTGGAACCACGCTCCAAAGTCCAAACATAGCCTTAAATTTTTTGATCTTTTGATATTGCAAGTGCACTACTTCGCCAAAATGGAGTACAATTCGGCTTGGATGTCACGGATAAATTAAATGGAAGGCCTTTGGCCATTGAGACTTGGGTTGGGAGATATTTGGGACCGCTAAGTTGACTTTTTGTCCTTCTCAAGTGTGAAACGCATAAGTTTCAGATAGGGTTGGAGGGAACTCTTAATTGCAAAAATATACATTAACTTCAGTTCACTAACAGAACGACCCTTTGATTCTTATTCCACACTAATATATTTCTAGTAAATCCCACTTAAATGTGTGTAAAATTCTTCATTTCAAACTCATTTGTGGGAATTGCCCGGGTCTAGCACCAGGAAGCACATCATCCTAAACACTAGGCTGTTATTCAATTTCCTTGTCAAGACATTATGTGTGAAATTAATTTAATTAAAGAATTGCATATGTATTTGTTAGTTATAAGTATACTTTAGTAAAAATTGGAATTATCAAGTTAATTACTATTTCGAGATGAATTCACCAAATCTTGTAAGCATTCAATCGCTCAACCATGACCCATGAACAAATTTTATCATGATTTGTTACCATAAGGATGTCGATTGGAATTAAAAAAAGTATACGGGGTAGTTTTTGCAATCAAAGTAAAAGATTTGGAGCAATAGCGGAATAAAAAACTTAAAAAGGAAGAAAATTATTTTTAGGGCTAATTCAAAATCCCTCAATTTTTTAAACGCACTCATAAAAACGGACCGATGACCACCACCACCACCACCGTCAGTCTCACTGTAGTCTTCTCCCTTCTTTCATCCCCTCCAATCCACCCTCCACCTCCGCCGCCGCCGTTTTGTTCCGCCGTCAATTCATGCACACGCACCTGAGCGGGAAATTTACACCCACTCACTCAATACTCGTTGACCCGAAATCCCACGAACATCCCACAAATTAAAAAGATACGAAGAACTCCGGGAAGGAAAAGTAGAAAACTTCCGTAACCCTCTGTAAACTCGAGTCGTATTTTAGCCTGCCTAATGGCCTTCTCTGGTTAGAAAAGAGGTCTGGTGTTTTTTGAGAAAAGGGTTTTGAATTTTAGGATTATTTTATTAAGAAATTCGTGTTGTTTGTCTTTGGGGTAGTGAAGATGGATGAAGGGTTGCTTGATGATATAATAAGGAGACTATTGGAGGCGAAAGTTGGGAGGGTGCCGAAGCAGGTCCAGTTAACGGAGGCGGAGATAAAGCAGCTATGCATGGCTTCCAAGGAGATATTTTTGAGCCAGCCTAATCTTCTAGAGCTGGAAGCTCCCATTAAGATTTGTGGTAAGTTTCCGACGCATACTAAGAAGAAGATTAGAACTCCGATTCAATTGTTTGCTGTTGACTGACATTCTCTTTTGAGTGCTTAATTCGTTGTTTTTGCCGATTTAAATGTAATTTATGTTAGTTGGGATTGGTCAAGCCTTCTTATCTGTTCTTAAACTGGCTGATAAATATGTCTCTTGTTTATTCAGTTTCTTTGGATGTGTTTTTGATTCAGTAGTTAATGCAATAATTTGAGAAATTCAAGGTGAAATGTATCTGGAGATTCTGAAGGCAGCAAAGAACGGAAACAGGGAAGTTGTTTGTTAAGGGATGTTAAGAGTTCACTTGTTTTATGTTTGGATTTTCTGCAATAGGGCTACTGTTATATCTCATTAAAGAACAAAGCTTAAGATACTAAATTCATTTGTTAAGTTACTGTATGAAATTGGAGTTCTGATGAGTTGAATTGTTTAGGACCTCTTTGAAACAGAAGAGCTGAAGTTAGGAAGCTTAAAGTTCAATAAGTGGCTGTGTAAAGTAAGAAACGTTGAAATTGAAATTTGGGAAGCCTTAAGATGCATTATTGATGATTGATGATAGCAAAGCATGATATATAACCCTCACTCTTGTCTCTCTCTCTCTTCTAATCTTTTTAAATGTGCTGCATTAATTTGGTTATATAATTTGTGGTATTTTTCCTTGGTATTCATCGTGTGTTAACCTATTCACTAGGATTCTGACTAACTTCCAACCCTGTGCATGCCATGTTGCAGGAGACATTCATGGGCAATATTCTGATCTTCTGCGGTTGTTTGAGTATGGTGGCTATCCTCCAGAGGCAAATTATTTGTTTTTAGGGGACTATGTTGACCGTGGTAAGCAGAGCATAGAAACAATATGCCTCCTCCTTGCATACAAGATTAAATACAAGGAGAATTTTTTTCTCTTGAGGGGCAACCATGAATGTGCTTCTATAAATCGCATTTATGGATTTTTTGACGAATGCAAAAGGAGGTATAATGTTCGTGTATGGAAAACATTTACTGAATGCTTTAACTGCCTGCCTGTTGCTGCTCTTATCGATGAAAAGATCCTTTGCATGCACGGGGGACTGTCTCCTGAGTTGAAGAACATGGATCAGATTAGGAATATTGCTCGTCCTGTTGACGTGCCAGATCAGGGTCTACTCTGTGATTTGTTGTGGGCTGATCCTGACAGAGAGTTGGGTGGATGGGGAGATAATGACCGAGGTGTGTCGTTTACCTTTGGAGCAGACGTAGTTGCTGAGTTCCTTGAGAAGCATGACCTTGACCTGGTCTGTAGGGCCCACCAGGTAGGAAATATTCAACATAAGTCAGGCTAATTAGGGCATGGAATTCTTAGTTTCTCACTTTAAATTTCTCATGGAATTCTTAGTTTCTCACTTTAAATTTCTCATGCATATCTTGTAAAGGAGGATCTTGTTGTCGTATACTCCTTTTTGGATTTTAGTTCAGCTAATGGAAGCCATTAACTACCATCTTTTTTGCTACTGTTTGGTCAAATGCCTGAGCTTTAAGCACAAGGTATAGGTTATCTTGTGTGATTTGGCACTATATTGTTAAGTTTTCTGAATTACATAAGTCTGACCTGCAAGAAAAATTTTGACTTCCAGTTTGCTCTTGTCAGTTTTGTTGTTGAAATTGTAATATGCTCAAGTTTTGTTTTTATCTTGTAATGAAACAAAAATGTTGCTTTTCAGACACTAGCTGACAGTTTGTGGAGTTCTATTGTATTTATAAATTGATGATGAAGGGTATGTATGAAGAACTTACCATACAGATCAGCTTTTTGAGTGTGTATGTTAAATGCTAGAACCTCTTCCTGAGGTTTAAGGAAAACGTGCATCATTCACGTATATTCTTGTATTTAACTAGCTTTCTGCCAGGGAACCCTGGGATACCAATTTTATTTTTCCTTTTTCTTGCTTTGAAGGAGGATAAATGGCTGCCCATATTACTCCATTTCCTTTTTATAGCTCCTGAATATGCTTGCCAGGTTGTAGAAGATGGGTATGAATTCTTTGCTAATCGCCAGCTGGTCACTGTCTTCTCTGCACCAAATTACTGCGGCGAGTTCGATAATGCTGGGGCAATGATGAGCGTGGATGACACATTAACCTGCTCTTTCCAAATTCTCAAGGCCTCTGAAAAGAAAGGAAAATTTGGATTCGGTAACAGCATGTTGAGACCTGGTACGCCCCCGCATAAGGTAACCAAGGTCATTTCAAGAATATTAAGACTTAAATTCAAGCTAATTGAAATGCTTAAACTGCAATTTGAAATCTTGGGCAATGTGATGATTTGATGTTTTTTCTTGACAAAGAAAAGTTGAAGGTTTCCATTTTGGGAAACTTGACTTTTCGTGTCAGGCAATATAACTGTAGTTGTTTGAGAATGGGCGCATCCAGGTGATGACAACGTGGTGTTGATATTTTTAATGAGTATAAATACATCTAGACCATATTCCAAAATATACTATTCATTCAAGCAAACCTATTGCCTTGAATTGACCTAATGAATTTTCTCTTAAAAGAAATAGCTTCAAAGTGCTTGTTTACTTAATATGCTCAAAGTGCTTCTTTTCTTATTATGCTGAATTCAGGATGTTCATATTATTTAGGTTAGCCCTGAATCCTATTTATCTAGCACTCACATGGCAGAGAAGCATAGTTTACCTATCTTTTGAGTTATGTAATATAGATTCTGATTATACGTTATGTGAAAATGTTTTCCAGGGTGGGAAAGGTAGTTCATAACGTGCTACAGGCCTACAGCTGTTGTCTGGGAAACCTTTGTGTTTGAGGTCACTAGCTTCATGCTTTTTTCGGAGTTTCAACTGCAATGTTTCATGTGTTGACTGGTTCGCGGCAAGATTGGGGTAAACCAAATCAAAACTCTGTCGAGATATTGGGAATTCAAGTCGTGTTGGTGTGGTGAAACTCAATGTTATAACCAAAACTTCTGGAATTGTAGTTTAGAGAGTTGTAACATCATACATACAATCAGGCTTAATTCAGTTTCTTTCAAAATTTGGTTGATGTTAAAATGAGGAAAATTGAAGTGCTCATTTGTACCTTTAATTGCTTTTGTACAAACATTTGGTTTCGTTTGAGATAAAATGGGATATCGATTGTTCCCCCTCTTTTTCCATTAACTTTTACAGTGTTGAGTAATGAGTGCCCAGGTTTAATCATTTTCTGCTACTGAATCAAATGTATATGGGGATTTCTTCTTCGTCTTCTTTTCCAAAATCCTGTTTACCACAAATGATATTTGTAACCAAAAAAAAAAAAAAAAGGTCAAATCTCATCTTTGTCATTTGATTGAGTATTTTAAAATGGAAAAAAACTAATACATATTAAGTTCGATAAGGATCAAGTGCCCTTCGTTTGAATTGAACTATCAGTTAAAGAGAGATTCAGCACCTGGCGTTGAGGATCAACATAGGTACGAGAAACACCTGGAATATCTGGCACTTCCTAAAGAAGACCCTGGCGTTGGAGATCAGTGTAGGTCCTTTTGTTGTAAATGTTACCCTCTTGATCTTCATATTCTTCTTGGAGATCAGGATGCCACTCGTTTAGCCTCTCTCTTTGCTGAAGTTCCTGCCAAAGTTGCCTAGCTTCCACAATGGATGTGATCTCGTTGAAGTTTTTGGTATTCGGAATACCCAGGCATCTCATCCCATGCTGATGTCTCGATTGCCTGAAGTGCTGCTCAAATGCCCGACGACCACGGTACCTATGATTCCCGCAAATCTCACAGCTGAATTCCTGATTAAGTCCATGAAGCTTATACAACCAGTATGGTATGTTTTCCCCGTCCCAACCCATTGGCAACTTAAGGGGATTATATCTCTGTTCTAGCTCCTCCTCCTCCTCATCATCACTTCCAGCTTCTGCTTGTGTTTCTTCCTCTGCTTCACGTTCTGCTTTCATTTCCCGATAAGTCAAAGCTTGCTTCCTCTCTACATTTTCTTTGGTCCGACTAATTGTTTCTTCCAACAACTCACACAGCTTTTGCAGTTTAGCTTCCATCAAAGCTATCTCTTTCGCATCTTCTTCGTCCAGCTGTGGAGGAGGAACAGAACCATGATCCTGCCCTCCTGATCTAGGATGCCCTTTTGCGAAATGTTTGCTGTCCATATCCTCAAGAAGTGTATACTTAGTTAAAAAAAGCCGTTCGGCACGCTGTAGAACTGTACCACCAGTCTTCAAACCCAGTGCACCCAAGGCCTTCTTCAACTTCTCAGGTCCACCTTCCATCAGCTCTTCAACATTAGAATAAGCATCAAGATCCATCACAGTATTATCCTGATCAGCTGGCACTCTGCCATTGGCCCATTCCTCTTCGAATTCAGCAGTTATCTTTGAGAACATTCTGCCAATGTCTCGCAGAGGCTCTGTTCTCTCAATGAAATAGACCAGATACTCCAATTGTTTCTGCAGGTATTCGCGATATTGCCTCATAAATTTAAACCTGCGAATGATTGTGTGTGGTTTTGTGAAAACATCAAGATAAGCAGAGTATTCTAATGGCTCCCCAAATTTAGAATTGATATAATCATTGTACAACTCATGCAAATCAAGGTATCTTCCCATACCTTCCTCTCCGCTGAATTCGATTCGAGGTTCCTCCTTCAGAATCATCTGTTCAAGCTCCTCGTTCACATCAACAGCCATTGCAACCGGGTGCGTTTTTTGATAATCACGAATTTGTTCTTCCAGTTGGGCAAGAATCTGCTCATCCTTCGTCCCATTGAGCTGATCATCATTCATGTGTTGGTAAATGTCAGTAAGCTTATTAGTGGTATCGGTGATTTGATCGATCATGTAACGGACGCGGTGGCTCTGATAGAGGCGGTCCCTGGCGGTGGACGGCTCCGACTGTAATTCCTTAACGATGAGTCTCTCGATCCGTTCCAACTCCTCGTGTGAAGCACGCGCCGCCTCGAGCATTGTCGATGACCTTCTCTTCTCTATACCCTCTGCAAAGTAAATTACTGGAATTGAAGTACTCCGAAAGCTAATTGCTTGCAAAGTAAAGAAAAATCGTAAAGGAAGACAATGTATATTTCATAAACGAAAGAGCTTCCAAAGTTTTTGGCAGTCTTGTGTATGTGTGTTGAGTTTGTGTCCTTCGATCAGCTCTAACTTTAGTATTTATAGTCCCTCTTTGCGTGCGGTGATGAATACGACTTCTTTTTAGGTTTTGGCACAAATCCTTCTCCGACTAGTTTTTTACCTTAATGTCCTTCTCCGCCAAGAATCTGGATTCAGGGAACAGTTAGGAATTAGCTACTTGATTCAATGGGCAACACTTATCACATTGCCCGAATTCAACTACCATCGGTGGGCGGCCATTGAATTTCTTATACGCGCTTACAAGTTTTTATATGAGAAGAAGAACATGTAAACCGCCTCTTTATTAGATATTGAATTTCTTTTCTTCTTTTTTTTTTTTGAATCTTTTCGTAGGAGTTTTGATAATTATGGAATACCAAAAGGTTATCTGGACCTAACTGAGTAGTGAAAGTTATGGACCATGTCTGGCCTTCAACAGAGGCGGCGACACCGCCGGATAACCTTGCTAGGGGGAAATCCTGAAGCCGCTATTGATATCACGTAGACCAGAAAGGCGATAATAATGATAAAATGAAAGTTCAATGATTCGCAGTTCAAAACTACAAATACGAATATGACCAAAGCACAATTACATTAATATATTTGTCCATATACGCTACAAACAAAAGTAATACAGATAAGACTAGTCCATCACTCTTCAGCTTGTATCGTTAGAGGATCCACTACGCAGGTAATTAGTGCTTGAAAGCCGTGCCAATTACTCTTCAATACACATATGCCCATTGCATACCATGTTGAAAGAAACACACGTTATCTCGGAATAAACTTCTCTCTCCATCAGAAAATGTGGGCCACTAACATGTTTTTGGAGAGCTGCTATTGTCATAAAATAAAAATTTACTTAAAAAGGGCCACATGTTTTACTAGATTAAAGTAATAAGCATTGGAGAAAAAACTGCTTTTACTTGAGACTGACACGGTGGTTGGGGTGGAAACAATTGGGACCACAACACTATCGCATTGAGGATGCTCTTAGAGAACTAGCCGCCTCTCAAATTGACATGGGCGGCGCGAGCACTTTTAAAGAGTCCTTCTCTATAAGTGCTGCTTTTGAAATTCTACCACATCATCATTGGCAATAGCCTGAGTAAACTTGCCTTTTCCAACGTGAAAAACATTGACAAATTGACTGCTTTCAGGCGCGTGATGTGAAGCAAGACAAAGTGCCCTTTTGGCCAATTCCGTATCATCAACCATGGACATTTTGTTAATATTGTAACGGGGCTTGCATTCGAAGAGAACACAGTCACAGGAACCAGATCCAGTTTCGACAGACGAGCTTTCAATCACTCCCCCTTACCGTCCACTTTATACAGAGTAAGTCTCGATGGGTAGGTCCACCCAACGACCAGTATTCCCAGTGACAAAGTGTCATCACTGTCAGGATGACGACACAGAAAGTCAACCAGCCATTGCACTAAATCTGTGGCTCAAGGTTTTGTCCCTTCCTTGAGTTCATGCTCGCGGCACTTCTGATAAGTCCATAATTAGCATGAATTTAATGATTGTTTACATAAGATTTTAAGAGTATTTTATGCTAATTATGGTGTTTTATATGTAGTTTGATCGTGTGAAGACTTTGGATGAGAAATGAGAGAAAAGATAGATTTTTCCAAAATTTTGTCGCAAAAAACCATGGATGGTGAGCCGCGGGTATTTAATAGCACGTGGCCATGTGATAAAATGAAAGAAGATGGAAGAGGATAACGATCGTAGACAACAAAGGAAGCAAATTAGCACGTGATCATGTGATTCTATTCAAGGGGCTTATGACTCACGTGAGATACCGCGTGATCACGCCAGTTGGGAATAAAAGAAATCAGTTTTTGGCGAGAGAGAGAGAAATAGACACACAACGCGTTTTTGACCGAGCCTGCCTTCAATTTTTATTCCAAGATTTTGGATAAAAACAATATCTTATATTTTATTTAGTTGTTAAGGATTTTAGATATTATTCTGATTTTATTTCTTTTACCAAAATAAAGGAAGACTTTTTACTAGGGAAAGACTTCTATAAATATCTCTGCAGAGGAACGTAGTTAGGGATCCACTTTTTTTAGTTTTAGACTTTCTTTCCCCTTTCTCTTTAGTTCTTCATTTCTTTTCTCCAGTTATAAAATCTTTTGCTATGTTCTTCAAAATGTTTAGTGGCTAAATTTTCTTTTTCTAGTCAAGAAAATTATTGAAGTCTTGTGTTCTTGCATATGTGAGATATTTTGCACTTTACTTTTATACTTCAAGAAAAACATTTATTTTCTACTTTTATTTTTTTGTTATAATTGTTAGTCGTTGCATTGAAGCACTGGTTAGCCTTTGATCTTCGCCATACAATTAACATTTAATATAATTGTTAGCAGCTGAGTTGGAGTGCTGGTTAGCCTTCAATATCTGCCAAAACGATTTACAACTAATCAAGCTAGACAAGGTTTTGTTAAGTTTGAGAGGGCGTTCAATATATTTTATTTACTTGGTTAAGTACTTAAACTATATTTTAAAAATAAATAATTTACATGCATAAAACACCGGTTGGTGTTTAATGTTTTGTTTTTAAATCTTTCTTGTTCGGTAACCATTAGAACTGTTAGTCCTGCGAGGTTTCGGGGGTTTTTCTATTGGTTAAAAGTAATTTTTGAGGTTTCGATTATTGCCTCGGCAAAGAAAGATTGGTGATATACAGGTTTGAACATTGCCGTCTTCAGTTTATTCTTGAATGTTTATTTGTGTATCGATGATCATTGCATGAAACAAGATGGATTAGATTTCTTTGACTAGAACTTCCCTTAATCATTTCATTTATTTCAATCTACTTCTCTTATTTTTTTATAAGTTCGAATCAAATCCAAACCATTTTGTTACTTGTTTGAAAGAAACGAATCCACCATTCCATGTGGAGATGAGCTTGCTTTCCTATACTACGTTTATTGGAAGTAGGTTAATAATATTTGTTGGCTTGACACCTCACCAACTTCATTGGCAGCTGGATGCGCAACCAACTTCGGGACCTTTCGCCCCCTCCAGAAAAAGCGGCAAGCAGGTGGTTGTGGAGTACCAAAAGGTTATCTGGACCTAAACTACTTGCATGATCAAGTGCTACCACAACCGTTTCATGGTGGGAAATGAAACCTAATGTTGAGGTTCCTTTCTCATAAATAGGGCGATCAAGGTCGTTATAAACGGTGTTTCTCGAATCCATTACTGCCAACTCTTTGTTGGTTTTAGGGAAGAATTCAGATGCACAAAGAGCTTATATCCGTAGATTTTACTTCGATAGAGTTTTCAAGTTTTTGACAATCTTATGTACGTGTTGAGTTGTGTGTCCTGTGATCAGCTCTAACTTTATTATTTATACTTCCCCTTTGCGTGTGCTTTAAAGGCGCGCGGTGATGAATCCGACTTCTTTCTAGGTTTTGGCACACTCTGATTAGGTTTTTATACATTATCGTCTTTCTTTCTTCACCAAGATTGTTGATTGCCAATTTAGGAAACAGACGTAGGAATTAGCAACTTCATTAAATCGGCAACAATTGGACCCAAACATCGGATTACGGTCTCCTCCTGTATTTTATAGTTTGATGACTAGATAGTATCTATAATATTGTTGAGCATAATGCACAGCCTTAAGTTTTACCGAGAAATGGTATAAGAAAGTTTTACGGTTAAGTTTGGTTTATAAATCGTTAAGAATTTTGTGTATTTATGAGTCTACCCTATGAAAATGTATTTAAAGAGAATTGCATATTTTACCTCTAAAGTTCAGCGCCAACATATATTTATTAGTCAATTCCTAAAGTATTAATATAACCGATACAACTCATAATTATCCCATCACGAAGAATCAACCATCTTAATAATCAATAGGCAAATGTGTAAATCATTAGTTTTTTACTTTTCATATATAATTTTTTTTATCTCTTTACCCGTATTGTTAAGTTTGATACATGTAAATATTGGTACTAAGTTTAACTCAAGCAAATCTTGAATTTCAAAAGTTTTTGATAAACAAAATAGTGAAAGCATGTCACGTTAAGGCTTGGTTTAATAACTTATCTCACATCGCGATTTGTAAACTATTGCAGTACAAGTAGTTTTACCTAGATATTGTAAAAAATACTAATGAAATTTTGTTTGTTATAATAGACATATGATATTAATCAAAATTCATGTGATTTAACAAAATGCACACAATTTCTCAAGGGTTATGAACCATGGTGGTTATCATTCGTTTATTTATAGTCGTATAAATTTTTCATTTTTCGGTTTTTGACAAAATATAGAGGGGTTCATCATAGTACATTAAACCTTGAGATAATCCGTAAGACTTCCAAAACAAAGGAAATACAAATTTCCCATTTTCTTATTAGGACTCTGAAAGTTAAATGAAAACCTTGGCATTACATGTGACAAAAATTGAAACTAAATCGTGGAAAATGCACATTTGCCAAAAAAATGCATTTTAATCTTTAAACCTCAAAATATGTATCCTTATAAATTATAAGGATATCATATGTATCGTTATAAATGTTTATTCTTTAAATATAGTAGAATATATTTGATGGGACCCAGTCAAATAAGTCCAGGGTCAAACTATTATTAAGGCCCGGGTTATCCAAATGCGCAGCGGGTCTGAAGTCGGGTCGTCCACTTGATACAACAGGACCCACGATTACCATTTATAGTTACAAAGGGAAAAGTGCCGCTCTGACCTAATTGAGCTGCAACCACCTCTTTCTGTAAAGAAGACAGAGGTGGCGGATTAGAGAAGCAAACCCAGACGGAGAAAGAAAATAGACCAAACAAAAGGAACTTTGACCCAGCATCACAAGCTCCCCAGATGATCCAAACCCTTGATCTTGATCCCTATTCTGCTTATATATACACCACTATGGCCTCCAAGGTTAGGGTTACAACATTACTACTTCTCTTAGCCATTTTTATTCCCACATCTTCTAACTTAGGTATCGGAGTGTTTGTCCGGGGCTCGACCCGGGACTTACACTAACAATCCTTGGTTTGCAGGAGAAGCTGGTAATCCATTGACTCTCGATGGTGGATAATTTGATCTCCATCATCTGGCACCGACTGTGGGGAGAGGTAGTACATCGTTTAGAAGTGCTCTTTTCTGCTCATAATCAACAAGCAACCTCAAGGTAAACGCCCCTCATGGCTACTTCAGGGAACGAGCCAAAAACCCTTAGAGGAGACCACACAGCGTTCACTGCCTCACCTATTCTCCGGGACACCACAGATGAAGGACCGTCTCAGCCTAAGCCGACGGCAGAAGAAATACAGGAGTTTGTTTGCACAAACTTCCATAAACTAGAGCATTTGCTCCAGAATAGCGAATGAAATGATAAAGGAAAGGAGCCAACAGATCCGAAGGAAAAGAGGAGAACCTCCTTTCCAGATCCCAGGCAGCTATTCTCAGATGAAGAAGAAGCTCACTCCAAAGGGCATTATGCTGTTAGCAGCAGTTCTTCTGGACACAATCATGAAGAGTCCGCTCCACGAAGAAACAGATCCCCAACACCTAGGGTTACCAGGACACCGTCTTCCGGTAGCTGGCAGGAAGGGCGATGTCATCCGTGTACTCATTACGGGTCGAAGAAGTATGGGGGAAACTCACCCTTCTTTCCGAAAATAGAGAAGTTCATGGTAGGATAGAAGTTTAAATGCCCTCAAAACATAGGCATGTATGACGGAAGTTTCGATCCAGACGATCACTTGAATGTGTACAATTCAGTTATGAACCTGTTCGCTTATCTGATGCCAGTGTGGTGCAAGCTCTTTCCGGTCACGTTACGGGATCGGGCCCGATTGTGGTTCGACAGCTTGACTTGAAGTGTTCACTCTTGGACGCAGCTCGAGGAGGCCTTTCGCTTGTACTTCTTACTGCAGAAGAAGTTTCGAAAAGCCAGAGAAGAGTTATTTACTATTAAGCAAAAGGATCAAGAGACGCTACGCGCCTATGTAGAGCACTTTGCGGAGGACAGTGCACAAATAGGGTCCCGATCTGACGAAATCCTGATTGTAGCCTTCATAAATGGGTTGCGTCATGGAAGATTCTACACAGAGTTCATGGAGGACCCTCCGGATACTTTCAAAGAAGTCCTGAAAAGGGCGAACAAGTACGCCAGAGGGGAAGAAGCCAACCGGAAGTGTAGAGACGAGTCTCAGAGTGCCTGCCGACCAAAAGTCAAGAGCCGTGGTCTGTCGCCATCTATCAGACGGTCACTCCGAGAACGTCTAGGAGGCATCAAGAGCTTCCGTAACCTCACCCCTCTAAACAAGACACCTAAAGAGATCCTATAGATTGTCTCTGTGGAAGGTATCCTGAAGCCCCCGCCGAAGATGAATAAGCCTGCCTTTAAGAGGAATCGAAGCCTATATTACAATTTTCATGGGGATTACTGGCACGACACAAATGATTGCAAAGATCTGAAGAGAGAAATAAAGTGTTACATTCAGAATGGTCAGCTCGCAAGCTTGCTTTGGAAGCGCAGAAGGGCGACGGTAACGCTCGGAAGGAGGATCGGGCAGCTAAGGCTTCCGGAAGGGACAAGCGAGGGCAATACAACTGGAATAGAGGCCGCGACAGAGAAAAGCCCAACAGGGAGGTCAATCAAGTGGTAACAGGAGATATCCTGAGTATTATTAGAGGGCCACCTGGGGGTGATTTGGAATCCCAAAGGAAGGCCTAATGTCGGAAGGTTCCGGACGGAGACACGAATAACCGGAAGCTCAAGCCTTCTGAAATAACAAATTTCTCCTATGAGGACCCCGTTCTGGAACGACAGGTAAGAGCAGATGCTGTGGTTATTCACAGAAGAATCGCGAACAAATCGGTCCATAGAATATACGTGGACGCAGGAAGTTCTGTAGAGATCATGTACTAGCATTGCTTTATCCAATACAAAGGTGTGCGGAGGACAATGCGGATGGTGAACACTCCCCTGGTGGATTTTGCCAGCCGTACCATATGGCCGGAAGGAATATTCACACTCCCCGTGACATTGGGAGACTACCCTACCGAGAAGTTGGTATATTTTGACTTTGTCATAGTCAAGGCAGGGTCCCCGTACAATATGATCCTAGGGCGACCTGCGCTAGGAAAGTTCAAAGCCATAGTATCGACACTGCGTTTGATGATTAAGTTCTTTACGGAAGCTGGAGTCGCCACAATAGTGGGGGACCAGTATGCAGCATGTGAATGCCATAGAATCGTACTGCGTAAGAAAGAGAGACAGGAAGAGGATGCCATGGATATTGATGGTCCATACCGGGGGTATGTGGGGATGACTCGGAAGTTGGGGGACGAACCCCTGCTAAGGGGGGGGGGAGTAGAAGCTGTGTTAGTTGACCCCAAAAACCCGAAAGGATCTTCCGGAACCTGTGAAGCTCCAGGTCGTGGAGCTATTAAGAAGTTATACCGCTTGGAGCCCGGTAGACATGGCAGGAATCCCTAGAGAAATCGCAGTGTAAAGACTGAGCATACCGGAGGGAGTAAAGCCCGTCTGATAGAAAAGAAGGCCCTTTGCAGCCGACAGAAGTGAAGTAATCAATGAGGAAGTACATAAGCTAGTGGAAGCAGGGATAATGAAGGAAGTCCAATATTCAGAATGTCTAGCTAATCCGGTGTTGGTACAGAAGCCGGACAGATCATGGCGTATGTGTGTGGATTACACTAATCTCAATAAGGTATGTCCTAAAGACTTTTATCCTTTACCCATCATTGACCAAAGAGTAGATGCCTTGGTAGGTTTTCGCGCATTCTGGTTCTTGGATACATATAAGGGGTAGCACTAGATATGCATGGCAGAAGAAGGCGTGGAAAAAACGGCTTTCATTATGGAGAAAGGAGTATTCTGTTACACTAAAATGCCGTTTGGACTCCGGAATGTCGGGGCCACCTATCAAAGGTCAGTGGATAAAGTCTTCGAAAAGTAGCTGGGGCGCAATATAGAAGTGTACGTAGATGACATGGTGATCAAGAGCACGAGTGTGTCGGGAATACTTATGGACATTCAAGGAATGCTGGATAACTTTCGGAAAAATAATATGAAGTTGAATCCGGAGAAGTGCATCTTCGGAGTTGGGTCTGGAAAGTTCCTAGGTCACGTTGTGTTCGCGGAAGGAATTCAGGCTAACCCGAAGAAAGCACAAGCCGTCATGGATATGGTCTCCCCACAAACCATTAAAGAAATACAGAGCCTCAATGTAAAACTGACAGCTTTAAGCAGGTTCTTGTCCAAGTTTTGCAGAAAGATCACTACCCTTCTTTGAGATCCTAAAAGGAGAAGTTAGAAAAGGAAAGAAGGGTATCCTGAAGGAAGGAGAATGCGGGGGAGGCGAGTCAGCTTTTCAAGAGCTAAAAGAATACTTAAAGAGAATACCATCTCTCGCTACCCCAGTAAAAAGAGAAACCCTCCGGGTATACCTGGCGGAGCAACCGATATACTACGTCAGGAAAGTCCTAACCGTCGTAGAAACTAGATATCCGGATATAGAAAAGCTGGTCCTAGCCCTGGTACAAACGGTCAGGAGACTAAAGTACTATTTTCAAGCACATCCTGTATGCGTGCTAACCAAGCACCCACTCAAGCAAATATTAGATAAACCAGAAGCTTCCGGAAAACTTGTAAGGTGGGCAGTGGAATTAGGAGGATATGATATTACCTTTCGGCCCCGGAAGGCCGCCAAGGGGCAAGTGTTAGCGGACTTCATAGCAGAAATGCCGCATCAGAAGATAAAAGTTGAAGAGGCCAAGCCCAAGGAGAAACCCAACCAAAGCCAGGAGCAGGACGTGTGGACCCTCTTCGTAGATGGTGCTTCCAGAGCAGGAGTAGGAGCTGGTTTGATTATCACCTATCCGGAAGGCATTGAAACTACATATGCTTTAAGATTCAAGTTCCCAGCATCAAATAACGAAGCAAAATATGAGGCGTTGATAGCCGGAATGGAACTAGCATACCAATTAGGCGCTCAAAAGTTGGTAGCCAAAGGCGATTCATTGTTAGTAGCTAACCAAGTCAACGGAGTCTATGAAGCCAAAGAACCTTCCATGATGAAATATCTAACTAAGGTCAGACAATTAATAGCCACATTCGATTTATTCGAGATGGTTCAGGTACCTCGCTCCCAAAACAAGCGTATGGATGCCTTAAGCAAACTGGCTTCCTCCGCTTCTGCACACTTAACCAAAAAAGTCCTCGCGGAAGAGTTAGTTGTCCGGAGCATAAGCAATCCCATATTAGTGGCAATCATTAGCACCCCTCCGGAAGATAGCTGGAACACGCCGCTGCAGAAGTATATTGAAGAAGGGATACTGCCGGTGGATAGAACGGAGGCCAGAAGGGTCATCTTAAGAGCTGAGCGGTACCGGGTGGTTGACGGGGTCTTGTTCCGGAAGTCATTTACCCAGCCGCTATTAAGATGTTTGGAACATGGAGAAGTATGTTATGTATTGGAGCAGCTGCACATGGGTGCTTGTGGAAGTCACGCTGGAGCACGAGCAATAGTCAAGATGGCCATAAGAAATGGCTACTACTGACCGTCCATAGAAAAGGACGCGGCCAACACGGTGAGGAGATGCAGAGACTGCCAAAGACATGACCCCGTTCCCCGGAAGCCACAAAGGGATCTGATTGGGATAACCAGTCCATGGCCCTTTTACCAACGGGGCATCAACATTGTTGGGCCCTTTCCTCAAGTTCCGGGAAGGTTCCGGTTCTTACTGGTGGCAATTGACTGTTTCACCAAATAGGTGGAAGCTGCTCCCCTATCATCCATTTCCGGAAAGAATGTGTTGAAGTTTGTATGGAAGAACATTGTGTGTCGGTACGGAGTGCCTGGAATAATTATATCTGATAATGGGAAGCAATTCACAAAACAACCCCTTCCGGGACTGGTGTCAGGAACTGCAAATTCGTCAAAGTTTTACTTCTGTATAATATGCTCAGGCCAATGGACAGAAATTGGCAGAGGAGATACAACATGTCTTATGGTCTTACCGAACCACTCTTAGGAAAGGTACCAATGAGACACCTTTCAGCTTGGTTTATGGATGCGAAGCCATGGTTCCGGTAGAAATAGGGATGCCTTCCGTCCGGATGCTAAATTTTGCGAAAGAATAGAACGAAGAAAATCTCTGGTTATCTGGTTGAAGAGAAGAGAGAGGCTGCCACCTTTCGGGACGCTCGCTACAAGTCACAAACAGCAAAGTATTACAATGCCCTGGTGGAGCACAAAGGACTCAAAGTGGGAGACTTCGTGCTCCGAAGAAATGATTTCAGTAGAGTGGCCGGCAACAGAAAGCTAGATGTAAAATAGGAAGGGCCATACAAGATAGCACAAGTCCACCGGTCCGGAAGTTACACATTGGTCCAGATGAACAGAAAGGCAGTACCCCGCACTGGCATCAGTTCAACCTCAAAAGGTTCTATTTCTAAGGAAAACTACATGTCTGTTTAGAATAAATTATTCAGTCTTTGTTGAGCTTTCTTTTCGTTGCTTTGGTACGCAAAATGCTTGTTAAAAGCGTCGCGCGTTTGATTTTGATGCCAAAGGGTATCATTGTAATGGGCATCGGACACTAGTCCTATTGCAGATGATATATAAGCGAAAGTAAAGCGGTTGAAGTCTTGCATTATTTAATCAGCTTTGCAAAGTATCATTACTGCTTATATTTACTTAAACTTTCTAATGAAAAGTCAATCGGTAAAGAGTGACGACCTTTAATTAGTGAACACTCCCCTAATAAAGGCAATAACTTTAATTAGTTATCATGCTCAAGTGCATAGTCAAAAGACAAAGCACCATAAAACGGCAAGCCTCACAAAGGTAACCACAAAAGCTAGCTAAAGAAGAAACACGTATACCACAAGAATGAAAGAGGATAATAAATAAAAGTGCCAGAGCACGCATATCCTACTGCCACAAAGGAAACGTCGCAAAAAACAGTCAAAGAAGGTCACAACATCCATCACAAGGGATAACGGAAGCTGGAACCATATAAAAGCAACAAATGGCGACAGAATACGCCAAAATAAAGGTACGCAGTCTCGCATACTTAAAAGTTTAATACATGCCAATAGAATAAATAGTAAATATAAAGCCTTGTTTAAGATGCCTTCATCTGGTTCACCTCTCCTTCCCCATCTCCCGCTCCGAAAACTCCCTGTGCTGCTACGATACGGGAGGTACTAACATCCGGATTAGGCATTAGACGCTTAGCACGAATACCCATAAGTACAGGAGTAGGGTTGTGAGCGTTGTCAGCCAAGACCTTGTGATAATCCAAAGCCAACTGGTGAAGAGCCCCCTTAGCTTCCTGAGCCTTAGTAACCGCATTAGGATTGTACCCAGGCATCTCCTCTAGCTCCACACCCTCAAAAGAGAGATGGTAGTGCAATGCCATTTTATGCTCACCAATAGCTTTCTGGTAATAGGACAACCTTTTGAAATGTCTCTGAAATACAGAGTCAACTAAACCCTTACTAAAAAAGTAAGGAAGACCCTTAGTAATCAGTAAATGCGGATCTTGCCGCAGTGTTTCAAGCTCTTTGATGAGATTCTTGTTTTCCTCCTGGGATCGAGCAGATGCGTCACCCAACTCCACCACCCTCTTCTCTAGACTAGCTTTTTCAGTCTGAATGAGATTAAGATCATCTTTAGCCACTCTGAACTCCTCCCGTACATCCCCCAATTCCTTCCGGAGAGCAGAACAGGTTCCTCTAAATCCATAGACTTCGCCTCCATAACCTTTAACTTCTCTTTATAAGCAAGAGAGGTAACTTTGTGCTCTTCTAACTTGCGGATCAGGGTGGTACACCAGTTGGTAGTCTAAAGCACCAAGCACACGTGTGTGTATATATATATATATATATATATATATATATATATAGTAAATACAAGATATAAAAACAAAGACAGAACAAACATACATACATCAAAGCTAATTATTAATAAAGTAATCAAAAAGCAGAATAATCGATTATCTCTAGGGAAGCAAAGGTAGCCTTCTGGGCCACATCTTCATCCGGAATAGTAAGAAGATAGCCCTTGTGGGCTGGGGGGAGGAGATGTTAGCAAACCAATCCTACCGGAGATAAGAGCTATTAAGTATCGATCCGGAATGCACACGCTAGGAACAAGGCGAAAAGGTTCAATCCCTCTAGCGGATATGCCCGATGAAATCACAGGGTTAGCAGGGGGAACAGAAGGACCTTCATACACCTCTTTAGCGGGAAATTCAGTAGATGGATGTCCTTTTTCTTCGCTATCCTCAAAAACACTCTTAGAAGCTAATGGCTTCAGAGAAAACACTTCTGTACTCGACAAAATTTCAACGTCAGGTACTACGTTAGTCATCTTCAGCTTCTTAGAACTCCCTTCAGTACCAGGCACCTCCGTATCCTCACTAGGAGAGCCGAAGTTCGCAGTGCTGGCTGCAGAAGAATTTTCCTTTTGTTTTGAACGCAGCATAGATAGAGGCAAAACCTTCCTTCCAGAGAGCAATAACCGTAGATCCCGAAGGATCCAAATTCTCATCATCCGAAAATTCTATGCTAGAAACAACTACCAAGGAAGATATACAAAAACAAATCAAAATCATTGGTGCGTGCCGAGTTCACCAAAAATATTACTAGCTTGGATTATGATTTTTGTAGATAATGGAAGCTAGGTCGATCCCACGAGGACAGTTAATTACCAAATTTGTTGTAAAGAAAGACTACCAATCAGACAAGGTGTCACTCAGGGGAATGGAAATAGTCACTCAGGGGAATGGAGGCCAGGGGCGTTCTTCTCCTTTTCTTACTGTTGTAGTTGTTATTAGCACTGTAATGGTTGAGCTCTTGTTCATTCAGCTCACTTATAACTCTAAGTCAGTTCTCGTTTTTCCTAGAGTCATCCTTGCAACCTTAACAATCTATTTTCCAATGATTGATTCCAGATCCAAAGTCATTAAGTTCTTAGGCTTTCAAGAATACTTATGTTAACTAAGTATATTCCTATCTTAGTTAAAACCATAGAATGTTACCTCTATGTCATAATTTAAAGTTGAAATAATCCAAACCAAGTTTATCTTTCCAGATCTCCCTTAGTTCTAGCATGCATTCAATTTAGTGATCAAGTAAATGAATGTAGAAAAACTTTCAACCTTAAAACAAGAAACAAAACCAGTGCATTGCAACTACGACATAAGTTGAGGAGAATAACCCCTGGAAACTGTTTAGCTACTCATACAGATTAATGCTACATCTACTACATCAACAGACATCATAAAAGTATGCATAATAAACAAAGTTCAAGCTAACAGTCAAGAGACGAGAAAAAAGCTTGTGCAGTTTCTGAGCCACTCCTGGGAGTGAAAGGGTTCACTCATGGAACTGAAGTAGAAACTGGGTTGGCTACTCTTCAACTTGGCTTCCTTACTGAGTTGTTGCTGCTTCTTCTTCCTTTTTGCCTTCTACCTGGAGTTTTTCTGTGTGTTTTTGGCAATTGAAGGGTAACCAGAGATTGAGATAGAGATATCGATGTCTTCTGAGAGTGCAGTTCCCTCTTTTATAGGGCCTTGCAGCCGATTCTTTTCATCATGAGAGCCTCCCCATGCTTGTAATTGTTTAATCCTCCCAATGCCTTGAGCCTGGAATCCAAACTTAGATGTTCTTCTTCTCTTCTTCCAGAAGTGGCAGCATTGCTCTCATTGATCAGCAGGGGAGGCTGAAATTTCGGCTGGGGGACAAGCATGCTTCTTGGAGGGGACATGCTCATTAATGGCAAGATGCTTCTTGTCTAAGGAGGTGCTTCTTCGTCCAGCTCAGCAACATTTGCCTCAGCAGCCCACAAATTGTTCTCTTGACCTTAATTTTTCAGCAATTTTGCAATTAAACCCCAACCTAACAAAAACACAAAAACTGGTTAAGTAAAGTGCACTAATAATAGGAAATACCCCCCAATTTCTTGCTAATTCAGAGTTAATTGTGATGCTTTTTGTAACAAATAAACCATTATCAATCATCACTAACAATGTAAAAGAAAATAATAATAATAATAATAATAAGAATAATAATAATAAATAAAAATAAAATACACACAGACACAATTGTATATAAATACAACAAAGATAATAAATATATTAATAGAAGAAAGCAACACAGTAGCTATAATTTATCCTACCCTTTCCGGATGAACCTCGAAACTCCGGCACCTCTTCCGGTTCCCCCAAATTGCTCATCCCATAATATATAAGTGCAGCCTCTGGCAAAACCAAGCCAAACACAGAGTGACCCAAATAAGCTTGGATGACCAAGTTCGAAGGTTTTGGAATTTTTCATCCTTTACCAGTTGATCCAGATTTCTCCATATCATATTCCCTTCAACAACACTATCTCTCAAAAAAAAGAAGCTATTCCACCAACCTTTAAAACCATCCGAAACACCCCGTATAATATCTGTTTCCTTAGAGCGTCTAGTAAGAGTAGACCAATCTCCAGAAGGAGTAAGTTTAAAGAAATATGACATAACATAAAAGGATGGTTCAACTGCCAAAGCCCGACTAAGAAGTTCATAACCCAGAACGCAGGCTACAAAGTTACGGGTAACTTGAGAAATTGAAACACCATAACGATTCAAAACTTCCAATAAAAAACGGCTAAAAGGAAACCGTAGGCCAATATCCAAAAATTTTGTGTAAATACCAATCATCCCTTCCGAAGGGTCATCAATCGTCCACCCTAACCCAGCAACAAAGGCACGAAAACCTTGCGGTATCTTGTAATAAGTCTTGATTGATTCAAGTTGGGCCTCTGTCAAATCAGAAGTAAAAACACTTATTCCTAACTTGGGGTTCAACGATTGAACATTTGCCTGCACCCGGGGTTTTTTCCCCTCAGATCTAAGGGACAAGCGAGAACGATTTGGCACTGGAGATTTCACAACTTTCTGTTTCTTCTTGGTATTACCAGACACATTGCATGCAAAAAGGCAAATCAAACACAGAAAGGTAAACCCCCAAACATAAATACCGCAAGAAATAACAAACCAAAATCAGAATTATAAAAGAAGCTCTCATAGAATCAAAACAGGAAAAGTATAAGCCTGAGTCGAAAGTAAATATCTACACTTACTCGGATCCATGAGGGACAGCAAAACTTCCTTACGAAAAAGAACAAGCTCTTCACCTTCTGCACAGCCTTTTTACTTTGGGGGAAGAAAGAGGGAAAAGAAGATAAAAGAGAAAAAGGAAAATCTTTAAAGAAGAGTTTTATAGAACCTTTGAAAAGACATGCTATTAAACAGGGCACGACTTTTTCAAATTTAAAACGGTTGAAATGATAAGACCCCACGTTTTGAAATTTGGGGAACCATGATGACACCTACTCAAACCAAGAAACAAGAAGAGTGGAGGAGAAGTTTTTCCAGTCCAGACGCACGTTCCAAAGGCGAACCGTCACCTCCGGACTGCGGGGCTAGTTGATGGGACCCAGTCAAATAAGTCCAGGGTCAAATTATTATTAAGACCTGGGTTATCCAAATGCGCAACGGGTCTGAAGTCGGGTCGTCCACTTGACATAACGGGACCACGATTACTATTTATAGTTACAAAGGGAAAAGTGCCGGTCTGGCCTAATTGAGCTGCAACCACCTCTTCTGGTAAAGAAGACAGAGGTGGCGGATCAGAGAAGCAAACCCAACCGGAGAAAGGCAATAGACTAGACGAAAGGGAGTTTGACCTCAGCATCACATGCTCCCCAGATGATCCAGACCCTTGATCTTGATCCCGATTCCGCCTATGTATACACCACTATGGCCTCCAAGGTTAGGGTTACAATATTACTACTTCTCTTAGCCATTTCTATTCCCACATCTTCTAACTTAGGCATCGGAGTATTTGCCCGAGGCTCGACCCGAGATTTATACTAATGATCCTTGTTTTGCAGGAGAAGCTGGTAATCCATTGACTCTCGGTGGTGGATAATTCGATCTCCATCAATATTAAAGATGTGTTGTACATTAAACTAATTTCTTTTCAAGTACCATTTAAGTTGAAAAAAATTTCCTCGACCCATTTCTATTATTTTGGTTCTCATTTCTATCAGAACGTTGATTAAGTGATAAATATTTATTTTATTGACAAAAATCCCATGGAAGTCGACACATTCCTCATGGTTTTATTTTTATTTTTTTAAAATAGCATTCTACCAAATAGGTAGATACTATACTCGCTTAAAAAGTTGTTGTGAGATAGTAAACCGCCTCTATATTAGAAATGAAATTTTTTATTAAAAAAAAATCGTTTCATTACGTGTGAATGAAAAAGGAATTTTGATCATTTACGTATTTAAGTCCATCACATATTTACATTTTATTTGAGCTTTTTTGAAGTCTTTTTTTATTTCCACCTTCGCATCTTTTATATTTATTTATTTATTTTTTTATATTTTTCTAATATACTATCTATCTATATTTATTTTACCTTACGAAGACCATTTTCAACAAACGATTTGCTTGCTACCTATAAATCAAAGGACATAAATGGTTACTTTGATTACACGATGCATTTGTTAGTTAAACATTTATGATATAAATGTTTTGATTATATTTAGCGGAATAACTCTTGAAAGATGAATTACACTCATTGTGTGTCACTTATTAATTAGGATCTAAACTAAGAATATCAAAATAATATAATTGGTGTAAAATTTATCTTCCGAAAAATATCTTTTCTCTTTCACACGATTCTCAAGCATTATCATGTATCCTCAATTATCAATCTCTCATCAGGTCTTAATACCACAAGTAAAATACATATCGACAAACCATTTCTTCAAACTTGCGTAGTATGCCTCCAAATTTCACGGTAATGGCAAGCTCTATCTAAACCCTAAAGTTCTACTATCAAGCAGTGGATATATAACCATTAATAGAGTGATGGCAATCAAGAAGCAAACTAACAATTATCTTAAATCAAAATTTGGCTCTGAAGATAAATTGATTGCGACTTATAGTGCAGAAGCATGTAATCTAGAAAAGTTTGAAGATTGATATGATAATTTGTTTTTTGATAGAGGTCTTATGGTAGACCACTTATGAAGTAGATTAGATGATAATATACTCCAAGAAATCAGCATACAATCCAACTTGTGGAAGAGCACATTGATTAAAAAACTCCACCTTTCTATCAGCTATAAATCAAGAACCTTGACTATGAAAGAATCAAGACCAATAATCTATAATGCAAGAAAAACTAATGCTATGAACGCCACAATTGAAAGATTCATTTGCAATTGATAAGTCCTTTAGAAAACATAACAAAGAATTTTACAATGACCCGTCAAGTGAGGTAACAACCTAATGGGAATCAATATAAAACTCATAATACAAGGAGATATTCTCTAAAAGAATCTCATCCAAGTGTGAACATAATCAAGTTAATAATGAAGAATCTGCCTCGAGTGCAAACTCAATCAGTATCAGTTTGTAGAGTGATAATAACTATCCATCATGATGCATATCTATCTAACGATGTAGCAGACATCAAATTAAAGATTTCTTATAAAAAAACATGCAAAACTCGAAAATAAGTAAAATAATAATTCTGTCCTTTTTAATTAAAAAGTCAATTTTGCCCCTATAACTTTCGCCCCTTGTAGAGATCTTTTCGAACTAAAATTTTTATCATGATTCTCATCCTTGATGTTATCACGTAGCATTATAAATGTAAATAACACTCACAACATTATTATTATTATTATTATATTATGCAGAACCATGGGTGGTATTTAGCGGATATGTCCTTCGTTATTACAATTTACAAGTAGTATTATTATAAAAAATAAAGGAGAGCAGTGCAAACAAAACCTGGATTTTTAATGTTTAAACGTTGCCTCATTGTAACAAAATAAAATTATTTTTCGAGTAAATGTTCTACATAAAAATTAATTATACGGACTTATTAGGTAGAGTATTAGTAGACAATTGCAATATAAGACGTCCTAAGAAAAGAAAAGGTAAGACCCGCCAGTAATTAATTAGCCACCGTCTTAATAAACCCGGGCGAATGTTTAAATTCCCACAACTATTACGAAAGTTAGGAACAGTAATCATCTCGAGACCCAAAGCAAATCCGCAATTAAAATGATACTCTTACGCTGTTTGAATTGATTTACTCGTAAACCGTGCCCAGTACTTGAAATTGAAATTCTGAGGGGGGAGTTCGGGTCAGGGTTCCAGGTGAATGTCCGGCTCGATATTAACACCCTCACCGGTGGTGGCGGGTGGCGGCGGAGATAACACCGTAACGGCTTCCCAGGTGAATGCATTTCGAATTGCGGCAGTCATGGACCGGTTGGCTTTGAACATGCAGCAGATGAATCAGCAGGCGAGTCAAAGCAAAGTTGACTCCACCGAGTCTATCCAACTCTGTCTCTCGCTCGCTCGGTACTGCTTTTTTGTCTCCTTCGAAATTCAGTACTTTTTTTCGGCCCTGAGATTTTAGCTTGTCATAGTTAGGGGCTTAGGGCTAATAGTTGTGTGCGATATTTATTTATTTTTTTGGTGCGTATGATTTTGGTCGCGATATATGAAAAGTTGGTTTTCCACAAAGTGAGAAATGATTTCTTTCCGTATTTTTTCTTTCCAATCTTCTCCTTTGCCAGAAAGGGAGGGTGGGTTGGGGATAGGGAACCCTAGTTTGAGACACAACTTGCCCTACTTTACAGACATGTTCATGAGGAAATAGCTCAGTTGGTCCCTATTTGTTGGCCGACTGTTATGTGTTTTTTTTCTGATGAATTTATTGTGTGCGTCAAGGAAATGGTTAGTTCCGTGAATCTTTCACCCTTACAATTAGTGGTCTTTGCTGTTTCGGAGGTAGACGCTACAATTTTTCGGTGTAAAGGTCAAGTTTCGTGTTACAGTAAAGCTCTTGTTGTTTATAGGCTACACTACGAAAAGCATGAATCTGGATGGCTTAAGTTCAATCGCAAATGTTGACCAATGATGGGATCATTTGGTTCAGAATATGATACTTGCTTTGGTTTGATATCAGATATTTGCTGTGTTGATAATTTTAGTTTAGGTCCATTGTTTGATGTGAAAACTGGTTATTTATGTAAATGTCTTCTGTAACTTCGCCCCTGAGAGTTGTCTTAGAAGTGAATTAGTGCTTTATTATTATTCAATGTAGCAACCCTCCCGAGTGATGGGAATTTATGTTAACTCATTGTTTTGATTGAAAAATTTTCAAATGCAGGGGAATTGATTTTGCCATTGCAAACCATGAGATTCCAAGCAGAGTCCCTGATTTGCCTATATTGTTGAAGCAGGTTCCTATTGTCAAATTTTTCAGTTTTCTGATTTTGCGATTTGATAGCTCCATTTTCATGTTAGGTTCTAATGATTATGTCCTATTTTTGAAAGATATTCACTGAGGCTTCCTTTTTTCTTTCCTTTTTTTTCGGGTGGCTTTTTGATTTTGACTGCTAAAATGCAACAAGTAAATGAAAGTGCATAAACTTTCTGTGATTTCTATGCAGTATAATTTTTTGCCTACTTTAGGAGGGAAAATGAATAAACCGACTTTTTTTTTTCCCATTTAATTAATTAATTAATTTTTTATTTTAAAAAATTTAGCGGAAGATGAGTTAGAAGTTGTTTATAGGATGATAGCTATTGTGCTAGAATGGAAGTTTCTTTGTGCCAATATTACTTTTTTGAGCATGTTATAGTGTTTCATATGTTTAAATGGCTTTTTATTACTCAAATGCAAGTGGGCAACAGATTTTCTAAGTGCCTAGAGTAGGACATTTGAGGCTTATTTGGACTGTTTGCTGCAGATGGCATTCTTTCGTTCAGCAATTCTTGTGGCTCAATATGATAGGAGCAATATTAACTGTGTACTTACATAGATGGATTTGTGTTTTCTTCTCTTGTCTCTACCTTGTCTTATTCTGGATTTGGTAGGAGTTTTTTGTTCTCAATTTCTATACAATGGTCATCTGATGTTTTCTTGTATGCTGCTTAATTCTACCATCAGTGTTCATATCCCCATGAAACGTTTAAGTGATTTTAGTGTGTAAATCGCAGGTGTGCCAGTGCGGAAATGATGCAATGCTCCAAGCAGCTGTCATGGTTCTCATGATTTCAGTTAAGGTACTTTATTTTTTATTTTTTTATTGTTCCTATAGAGCTTAAGACAACAGATTTACTGGATATTCAACAACAAAGGATAATTCTGCCCAAGGAAGGTGGCATTTGTAAATATTTGGGTAGGGTGATAATTCACGGTTATTTTTATGGTGAAGAGTCAGCTCATGTTTTGAGAATATTCTATTAGATCAATTTGCTAAATGACACATTTGTCTGGGCTATTGCAACTGAATCAGTTTAGAGCTCCTGAAAAGTTCGGAAAGGAGGTTTTGTGAGGTGGGTTATGTGCATAGGCAGGAAACATAAGAAATCCAGATGCCTGAAATTTTCCTCATAAGCTGCCATTTATCTTGCTTTTGTCAGTGAACCATCTGAAGATGCCTTGTTGCCAGTTTTAGTAAATTAGATAGAGATGAGCATCTAATGATGTTCAATTCTGAACAGCAATATGATGAATAAAACAGTTGGGCAGGGTGAGTTTAAGATATGCTTTACAAAGTATGTTTTAACTCTATTAGATGGCTTGGTGCCTACCAATATCACAAACACATCATCTATCTCTTTTTGAATCAACAATGAAGACTTTTTGAGGCCTTAGATTGCTAACTTTTTGAGCCTCAACTTTTATACATCCTTAGTTTTTAAAGAAGCATTGAGTGTCTCCTTATGTTTCAAGCATTGGAGGAGAATTAGTTTGGCTCAGGGGTGGTAAATCTTAAATGGTGTAAGCTTTTGCTGTTTAGGACGAATTTTGCACATTTCTTGTGCTTTAAATGATTTTTACAGCATTTCCTAAATTTGGAACCAATTGTTCCCTTTACCATAGAATCTCCGCTTATCTGGTGGTTCATCACTTTCTCTTGTAGAATGCCTGTCAGAATGGATGGTTTTCAGATAAAGATTCTAAAGATCTTAATAATCTAGCACATGAGGTTTGTAACCATTTTTTTGGGCTAATTTTCTTTCCCCTGCCATTTTCTTGACTTTCATTTTACTGATTAAGTAATTCCTTCGCCCTCATGATCAAGATTGCTAGCAACTTCTGCTCCAGCTTGGATTGCAATGCTGACCCAAGCAGTTACAATGCGGTTATTGCGGATATTATGTCCAGGTACCACAGTTGAATTACTTTTATAGAAGTGATGAGTCGCTAAATTTTCAGCATGGTCAGTATCATTGAGCAGAAGTGAAGGTTCATTGCGACTTTGGATAACAGCCGATCTGCTTATGTTTTTCCTTTAGCTTCTTGGGCATGGTGTTGCCCTCAGTTTGGATAGTGCCATTGTCTTTCATTGCTGATTTTCCGCTTAAATTTAATATTGTCATCTTCTTTGAATTGCGAGATATTGTAACACCTTCCTTGAGTCTTCTAAGAAATAATTTTCTTTTTTTTTTCTTTTTTTTTTTAACATTATGTTCTTGTGTGAATCTGCAGATTTTATCCAAGGTTGAAAATGGGGCAAATTCTTACTTTCCTCGAAGTCAAGGTGGCAATTGTGCTCCTCTGTCATTTCACGTGCTATCACTAAACTTCTGTTAGACATAATATAGATATGTGCGCCATTTATAAGTTTCCCTTATTGATTCTTGTAGCCCGGATATGGTGCTTATGTCAAAGACTTCCAAATTTCGAAGCACATGAAACTGTCTCCTGGAGAGAAAATTGTAAGCCCCCACTTGACTAACTTGCATTACTTTTAAAATAGCATTGTGATTGACACGTTTTTTCTGACTGAATTACCCAATGTTAGTTCCTCAATTGAATCCTTGAAATCCGTGCTAGCAGTTTCTATTTTCTGGACATGGAAAATTTCTATCTGCTTCTGTCATCATTCTTATATACCAGTTATGATACTGTTGGTTGCAATTACTCAAATTTGTCATTCGTTTTTTGGGTTTTCTTTCCCCCCAATTTCTAGTGCTGAACTTTTAATTATCGGCTTTAACTCTTTTGGTCCTCTTGTAGCTCTTGGTCTTTCCTTGATGACTAGCAAATGACTAATAGATAATTTAACTTTCCTTGACATAGTCAATTAGAATTCCATACTTCAGTCGCTGATTTTCAAAATCCTCTGACACTAAACTGAATTTTTCCGTATGAGATGCTTTTCTATGTTTAATGCAATTCATACTTGCTTCCTTTTTTGGTCTAATTTTGTTTTGTGTGTGTGTGTGTGTGTGTATTTTCTAGTTTCCCTCGCTTGTCTCTTCAGGTTTGAAGCTTATTTCCTTCAAGATAAGTGAAATTGATGTTTTTAAGAGAATTAAAGGTGGTTGTTATGTGTGGTAGCTTTTATTTTGTACCAAAGCATGTGAATTGTAGATAAATAGATAAATATCGGTCATTTCAGTTGTCTAATTGAACTATAATACTGAGGATATCAATCAGATTCTGTTTGTTTCTGCAAACTTGGTAAGGTGGAATGATGGATATATGAAATCATCCAAGGATGGGATGGATTCATCTATGTTTAGGCATCAATGAATTTGCCAAATGACTGGTCAATGGATATGAGGAAATGGTTGAAAACTGGCATGGAAACAAACTACTTATAAGACAATTATTCACATCTGGCTCACTGTGTGACCTGCATTGAGAAATCTTTCATCGTGTCTTATGATAGTCTGATGCTGTAGACAGTCCTTTTTTCCCAGGTTAGTGGCATCCCCTTAAGCTATCTTACTTTTATGTTATTTTCCTGCAGAGATTATTTGTTGCACAAACAGATAGCACAGAGACGCCATCATGTCTCATAAACCCTCCAAAAGTCAAGTATGATTTTCTTTTCTTTCTCTGGAGTACATTAATGCCTCACTATTGTTCTTTAACTTTTGGAGGTTAACTTGATGTTTTCTTTTATTTCTCCTTAATTTTTCAGTTTTCTGTTGAATGGCAAAGGAGTTGAAAGGAGGAATAGCGTATATATGGTATGCTTTACGCGCAATACCTGATCTCTATATTATGCAAAATTGCAGTACTTTTCTTAGTGAGTTTTCTTCTGTTAGGAAACGGGACCTCAGATGCCAACAATAGTGACACATATCCTGAAATATGGATCAAACCTTGTTCAAGCCGTGGGCCAGTTCAATGGTATGCTTCAACTCTGCATGGACGAAACTTGTGGTTTCTTGAAAAGGAATGCCCATTTATCCTGAACTTGTTATTGATGCAGGGAACTATATTATACTTGTTGCTTCTATGAAGGATTTGTCTGCAATTGAGAATCCAACATTGCAAGACTATGTGCAACCTGCTTCTGATATTGTAGAGCCAGGTGCCCTTCGAACTTTCATGATGGATTGCCTGCTCGTTTATTGCATTTTAGACCGTCTTTAACTAGACTTATTTCTTATTTCTTGTTCCTTGCGTAGATTCCGAGTTGATTGTTGGGGCATCTCGAATATCTCTCAATTGTCCAATAAGGTACACTACCCTCTATGCGGAGTTTTTGAAATTTTAACTGTATACATTAACAAATGAGAATGCTTGCCAGCTTCTTTCCCTCTTAATGATATCCCCTTCTTGCTGTTTGTGGGAAATGTTTCTGGTTGTGTTCGGGGGACACACATAAGCAACTTTGTTTTTTTGGGAAATATAAATAAATAGTTTAGATTGTATGCGCATCAATATTGGCATTGAACAAACAAGCCCCCCCCCCAAACAAGAAAAAAAAGAAGCATTAGTCTTGTGTCGTTGACACTTATTTTCATTGGTTAATCAGTCTATAAATTTGTGGATTGCTGAGACACTGCTTATCACTTTACAACTGAAACAAATCACAAATCACACTAAGCGTAGGTTTTTTCATTCCTTTATGTCTTAACTGATTTTCTTGTAAGAAAACATGAACAATTTGCCTTATGTTTGTACTATTACTGCCTTGTGAAATTGACTTTGTGCCTCTCTCAATTGCTTTGGAGGCAGTTCTGATGTAAAACATTATCCTGAAGCTTGGGAGGAGAATCTCTATTAACTCCTTTATGTCATTATTACCATTTATGAGATTATGAGGATATGACTTGGTTGTCAACTATGTTTTACTTTCTTTCCTTTCAAGAAATAAATCAAATAGAATCGAGCTACATCAGTTTAATGCTACCTGATTGATTTAGTTACTTTCCCACTTTTGAACAGCTTCACACGAATCAGAACTCCTGTTAAAGGACAGTCCTGCAAGCATTTTGAGGTGAACAACTCTTTATAATTGCATAAGTTTAAGTTGCTTTTATGGAGGTTTAGCCAGGCATACTTGATGGTTGTTGATGGATAATAAAGAGATCCACGATTGGCAATGTTATTTACGTTGTACTTTAGGTTCTCCCCATATAACTAAATGCGCAATCTGTTAAAAGAAATTAGGTAGAATTTGGGGCAAGTTTTAAGAGCAGTCCTCCAACATTCCACACCCCCCACCCCCAATTTCTTGTTTTACATTTTCCCTCTATATCCAAGTTGTAACAGGGTTTTATTTTTCACATCTTCCTAGTGCTTTGATTTGAACAACTACATGGACATAAACTCAAAAAGGCCATCGTGGCGATGTCCGCATTGCAACAATTATTGCTGCTTCCCTGACATCCGTATAGACCAAAATATGGTCAAGGCAAGTATTTACATTCGCTTAAGATAGTTGCTTTGAACCAGTTTCTGTGAGTGATATTGTTTCTTCTAAAGGTTTTGAAAGAGGTTGGCGAGAATGTCAATGACGTCATTATCTCCACCGATGGGTCATGGAAGGCTATCATGGAAAGTGATGATCACCCTGAAGCACAACCAAAAAAACTCCCGAGGAGGGATCAGGATGAGCCAAACTCTGCTATATTCTCAAATGCTTCCGTAGACATTATGGATCTCACTGAGAATGATGTAGATGTTACTAATGGTGTGTTTGAACCGGAAGATGTCAAAGTGTCGCGAAATAGCTCGGCAAGTCAAACTAGTATTCAAAACATGGCAAACACTCCAAATTTGAACAGGACAAATGAGGTTCAACAGAGTATTTTGCCGCCGATTGTTGAGAGCTCTTCTTGGTCAGGCATCTACTGGTCCACTTTTCAACCAGGGACAAGTAGTGCTATAACAGAGCCTTTGCGTGAACATTCTGTGAACAGAATACCGATCGCTGTCCAGGCTCTTCCAGCAGCACAGTCCCTGACTAATATTTCTCCTAGGCTGGGAAATAGTAGCACCAATGCATTCCCTTTGGCAGCTTCTCAGCCTTCTTCTTTATCACAAGATAGCCTTAGTGCTCATCTGAGTAGCATTGAAAGGCAACTGCAATCTGGATCGGATCCAAATGTCCTCCCAGTCCCCATGATGTCAACCCAACAGCAGCACTTGACTTCTCGGGTAAGCATGCTAAACCCTCTGCTATCTTCTCTTCTTGTTTTTTTTTTGTGTTACTGGGTCCAGAAAGAATGCTCATTTTTTCTTTTTTCTTTTTTTCTTTTCTGGACAACCATCTGGACAGGTCTCTGGCAGTCAGGCTATTACACAAACTCCGGGAACATATCAAATGAACCTTGGACGTCCAAGTGGAGTTCTGAATCCTAACCTTATCAGGCTGCCACATCCTGTGAATCAATCAGCTGGCAGGTCCCAGCAACCTGCACAGGCATCTGGAACGTTCTTCCATTCGCGAAATAACCAGGGAGGTTTACCAGGTGTTCCTACTCGTGCTGTGGGTAGTTTCAATCAGCAACATCATCGGCCACTAGCTGATCAGCCAGCTAACAGTGTCTCGAGAGCATTCCAAAATTCTAGACCACCACCTTTGTCCGTGAATGCAGCAGGAAATACACCACAATCAGTTCCAAGACCAGAAGTTGGGGTGAATCAGTCACCCAATCAGGATTGGCGTCCCACAGGTCGGATGCGAGGAAGCTTATCAGGGCAAGCCTATTCTGCTGCTTTAAACCAGTTCATTACTCGACCAATGCAACAAGCTCAAGCCATCAGGCCACCACCAACTCTAAACTCCAGTGTTGCACGAACACCAACAAATGTAATGACAAGTGGACCTAATTCTGCTGCACTGTTGGATATATTAATGGCAAATAGGGCCGCTATGCAAGCAGCATCAAGTAATCCTACAACTGGAGTTGCTGCCATGACGAGCACTGCTGGCTCTCTTCCATCGCCCCCTACGACAGGGACGCGGTGAGCTTACTGGCTATATAAATTTCTACGGTAACATGTACAGGTTTCACTAACGTATATTTGTCACGACTCATGGGGAGCTCTTGCGGATATTTCATTCCCTTTGTCCATGCAGGGTTTTGGTGGGGGAAACCTCCCACTATGTTTCTCCATATTAGGGTTTAATACCTGGATTTTGGCTACTTCATCTACCAGACCTTTTTTAGTCTCTTAGACTGACAGATGCCTAGGAACAGAAGTATGGCTGTAGTTAATTGATGACAATCGGATACTGACAGTTAACTTATGCCTAATATAATTGATGACGTTTTCTCCTGCATTGGATATTTTGGATTTTTTTCCAGTATTACTTAACATTCTTGACAGTGTAATGGTAAAGGCAAATTCAGATAGATGATTGAAACGGCTTCTTAAAGAACGCTATTAGCAGCCAAAGCAAATGTGGCTTCACAGTATGAACTCACAGTGAGCAGTCTTTTCGCGAGTTACCAATGGCTTTGTACAATGCAGAGTTTATTTGAGAGAGTGAAATTTCACCCAAATTTTAGACGGCTGAATAAGGAACATTTACAAATCATTAACTGAACCTCCTACTAGACACAGCAATTGGGGTTCAACGATTTTCACAGAAGAAAATTAAAAAATATGGGGGGATTGCAACTACTAGCTCAATGATTCAATACCTACGCAGATGTGATCCAATCAAATTAGATTTCATAAGACTACTTTGACAAAAGGAAATAATAATAATTTACCAACAGCAAAGAACAAAGTATGTACCCAAAAAAAATGATAATAAATAAGCAGAAGTTTCCAATAAAGTTTTCTATCTGCTAACTTCTGAAAGTTTTAGCTAAAAAGCAGCTCTCTCCATCCACTCACTGCTCTGGTAACCTCTTCAGCAATCCCAATATTTTCAAAGAATTGTGGATTTCCATGTAACGATTAAGCAAAAACTGTGTCATGTCAATGAGGAAGGTTTGAACTTTGATGGCTTGTGCCTAGCAAGTTCTGGAGGCACATGACTATTACTTTGAACGAGCTTCTGCTTGAGATCATCGAAAATGTCGCTGTCATTAAGGGTCAAGAAGGTAGTGGCTACCCCAGTCTTCCCAGCACGACCAGTTCGTCCTATACGATGGGTGTAACTTTCAATTGTACCTGGCATATCATAGTTAATCACATGAGCAACATCAGGTATATCAATCCCTCGCCCTGCTACATCTGTTGCGACCAGCACGTTGTATTTCTTCGTCCGGAAACCTTCAAGACTGAGTTTTCTCTGCTCTTGAGACATCCCACCGTGCAATGTGGTAACGCGACAGTTAGTAGCGGCCTTGCTCAAAGTCTTCAAAACTGTATCAACCTTTGTCCTTTCATTGACAAACACTATAGTAGTTTTATCCCCTAGTTCATAAAGCAATTTATGTAACCTGTCTGGTTTCTTTTGTTCTGTCACCATGATTACATGCTGGGTAATAAGGTCAGTTGGCTTGCCTGCAGTTCCAATGGTGACGACAACAGGATTTCTTAAGTACTTCCTAGCCAGCCGCTCAACTTTATTGGACATGGTAGCGCTAAACATAAAAGTGGTTCTATAAATTCTATTCTCATCAAGTTCTTCACACTCATTTACAGGTTTCAAATTACTTGAAGGCATGGCATCTAAAACACCTACAAGTTGTGGTTCAAAATTCATATCAATCATTCGATCAGCTTCATCAAGAACAACATAATTACACTGATTCAAAACAACATACCGGCTATTCAAGCAATCCAAAAGACGTCCTGGAGTGGCAATGATCACCTCGCATCCTTGGCTTACTTTAAGTCCCTGTGCTGATATGGACTCACCCCCAACAATGGAAACAACCCTACTTCCCAAATGCCGAGCAAACTTGACAGTCTCAACCTCAATCTGATGAGCGAGCTCGCGGGTAGGAGCCATCACAACTGCGTATGGCCCCTGCGCCACAGTTTCCTCAGTGATAGGAGGAAGCCTAGAAATATAAGTCAACATAGGAAGAACAAAAGCAGCAGTCTTACCTGAACCGGTTTCAGCAATGCCGATGACATCCCGCTGCTCAAGTCCAAGGGGTATAGCGGCCATCTGGATGGGCGACGGGGACTTATATCCTGCCCGTTCCACAGCCTTAAGCAACTTGGCATTCAGTTTACTCTCACTCCAACTCCTAATTGGGGATGGAACCCTAGTCCCTTTGTAAGAAATATTGAAATCCTCCTTAAAAATTCTCCAATCTCTGTCAGTCATTTCGTCGAGCATCTTATCGGACCAGTGCCTGTCAACCTTGGAATCGTTCTGGTTCTTCTTCTGCTCCCTTTTATCTACCCCGCCAATACTTCCACGGCCAAAAAGCAACGGAGCTTCATGAGAGTTATGGAACAGAATGGAAGTATCTTCAGTATTATCCCAGTCAAAAGAAAACCTAAACTTGTCGCTAGGCTTAGCTACACGCCTTTTGGGCACCTGTTTTCCCATATACTGGTCTTTAATCAATTGCAACTCTTCTTCTCTAGTCTTCTTCTCCTTGGCCTTCAAAACTTCCTCCCGTTCCTTCTCCGTGTTCCGTCGCTTCGAATCTCGGTCCCACTGTTCCGGCTCCCTTCCCCGCTTCTTGCGCTCCTCTCTTTCCCTCTCTCTATCTCTACCTCTGCCCCTATCTCGATCTCCATCGTCGCCGGAGGAAGGGAATTTGGATTGCAGAGCAAGTTCGGCGAGGCGTTTTTGGTCGGCGATTTTTTCCTCCCTGCGCCTCAGAGCAAATTCCTCGCGCTGAGCTTTGGTGAGAAACAGAGGCGTGATTGCCATAGGCGACGCGTTCTTTCTCTTCCGTCTGCCAATTTTTCCAAAGGATCGGTGAAAGTTTGGGAATGGACGCCGGAATTCTCTTCTGGAACTCTTCCGAATTCCGATGGGCAGTTATGTTAGTTTCGAGTGCTTCCCATATTAAGCGCGGTAAACCGCAAACCTAGTGGATTTCGGAAGCCTTTGTAGACCGACATTAGAATTTGGTCAAATTAATTTAATATATTGTTAAAAATTTTAATATTTTATTATTATTAGTAATAGTATTTATTTATTTGTTTTTTTGGTTTGGAACTGGTCATCAAAATTTAATTTCACGTTTGCCGCGGAAATTCCCTTCTCTTTTGGGGAGAAGAATTTGGCTACCTTCCAAACTCAGAGGCGCAGCAAAATTCAAGAAAATAAACAGATTAATCAAACAATATTTTTTTCATTAATTTGTCATAAGATGTCGTATTGAATAAAGCACGAGTACTGCGAGGGTTTATGACATTAATCTTGCACCAAAAAAAAAAAAAAAACTCAGCAGAAAAGAACTCGGACCAACATATTTTTTTTACCCACTTTTATAATGACTTTTTTTTTCCCCGGTACAATTATAATGACTTTATTATTAATTCACAATCACACCGTAAAGATTAAGAGTGAAACATATTTATATGCTCCATTGGAACCACATATAAATCATAGTACAAATTCTTTCAAGACAACTACTTCTTCCATTTCTATTTACAAATCGTTTTAGCAATAAAACATAAACTAAGGAACCAATAATTTACTGATCCTCCAAGAAAATTATGTGATAAATCCCTTTTATACCCTTAATTAATTATTCTATGTTTAAAAGTCCAAATATCAATACTCCAGGCTCCAGCTGACCATCATTACAAATGACTAACCCACTCATCATAAACACAAACTTTTTTTTTTAATCCGATTAAGCTTTAGAATAAGGAACCTCTAGAGTTAGCTCTTTAATACAACTTAATCTTTTGAAAACTTTTTCCCCATGAAACTGAAAGTTTCCCACTAAACCAAGCACATAATTAAAAATTTAACTTGACAAATGGTTTGTTTCTGGCCGAAATACAATCGTATTGGTATTGACCCCTTAATGAAATAGATCTAAATATTTAGTACGTGCAATACTCCTTAAGCGTATTTGAACACCTCATTCAGTTTGGTTTGCATACGTGCAATACAATCGTATTGTCATTTTCTCACACAATGCAGAACTTCCCATGACCTTCAACAGATCTGCTGCATTTTATTTGATAAATGGCACCATGGTCACTTGATCTCATGCAACGCCGGATCTTTCAAATACTTTTCATAGACCCACTTTGATACGTTGAAGGCACTACCGGTGCTCGTTACTGGAAAAAGTTTCCGGCTACTTTGCCAATCATTTGTAAGCTTGATCCACTCCCTCCTCCAGTTTAGCAGCTGGAAACCATCATTTCTCTCTAGACTCTCTTTCATGAACTTGAAATAAATTGCCGCACGAGGACCATAATAATCTCGCAGAAGCCCACTCCAGTATTTGTTCCCTTTAAAAATGGTTAATAATCAATAAAGCTTTAAAACTTACCAGGAGTTATCCATTTTCGTGTTTACCATAATTTTCTTATCTAAATACGACATCTCCAACATGAGGATCAAATTTTTCTTCATCTAATGTCTGTATTTGAGCAAGCCAGTTTTCGACAGTCATTAATTTTTGTACTGTAACTTTTGTCAGACTCACAATAGTATCAGTGCTACTGCTATCACTTGCGCTAGACACAAAAGAGTAATGCTTCTTACCATAGTCACGAAGCAGACTAGCCTCCTCTTCTGTGTTATCGAACCACATTGTAATTTGAGTTCTTGCATTCCATTCAAACTGAAATTTAAGAACACGGTGTAAGCTAAATCCCTTGTCGTATCAAACTAATACGAGATGATAGTTTTAAGTTTCAAGACCTGTCTTTCTTGTTCTTCATCTTGAGCCAGTTGCTTTGCACTTTCCAACCAAGGTCCTAACAGAAATCCATCATCGCATGCTAAAAGTTTGTCCATATCATCAACAAGTGTAAGAAACTCTTGACTAAACTCAGAAACTGCAGGAAGAACACCAGAATGATAGGCTTCTATTATTTTTAAAAACAGTTGGTTTGCATACTTCCCCAGAGCTTGTCTAGTCAAGTCAATAAGGTCATATCTGTAAGAACCGAATGATTGAGTCACGTTCATTTGAAAGGAAGACAAGAAAAAGGAGCAGTAATGGGGTACATATAAGTTGATGCATGAAAGGGAAAGCCATCAAATTCATCAACCATTAACCTGTAAGTGTTAATCTCTGAGAGCTGATCTCCACCTGATAGGAAAAGTCCCAGTGCTTGAATTACATCTGAAGTGGAATACCATAAGTGAGGTGTGTAGAAGGAATCAGTTAGTTTTTCAAGGGTGTTTCTCCTTGGAATCTGAATTCCATACTCTTGATGTCCCCTATCAATTGTTACTTGAGGTATCGAAATTGACTTGGGATCCACATCTGGGAAAGCCACAATCACATCTCTATTTTTATCCTGTTCAATTATAAAAAACATCCAAAGAATCAACCACGTATGCTGATATTTACACAGACAAATTTTTCAATGAAAAAAGGACAGTTAATCAACAGTTCAACACTATAAGAATAATAGTACTAGGGTTAGGGAACCACTATTGATCATTTCAAAAGAAAAAAAAAGAAGAATAATAATAATAGTACTAGGGTATTCTGAAAGTAATGAATATTTGGTCCGTGGCTAATTGCCAAAGAATCTCAGAGTTCCATGAGCAGCATTGATAATTTGAAAAATGAATCTGAGTATGCTTCAAAAATCATATAATTATCCTAAAATTAGTAAAAATGGAAGTATAGTACATGTTACTAAAATTCATTAAAGCCACGTTGGCCAAGCCTTATGATCAGACAGGTAATCAGTTATATTCTCAGAATACCTTAGCAGGCAAATTATACAACAAAGTAGTATTCAAAATAAGATCAAACTTATAAGTACTCACTTGGGAACCATCTGAACAATTGTAGAGGGTATGATACAATATAGTCCAGGCATCTTGCACTGACTGTACATATCTCCCATAACGCCTTTTGACATATAGATTCACCCATTTCTGCAATCAAAATTGTAGCACTTAGCTAATGTATCTAGAAATGTGATTAACAATTTAGTGATGGCTGCAGCTTTAATGTATTAAGAATCCAAATCAAAGGAGCGGGTTTTCATGAGATCAGCAAGAAGATGTTCCCTCCTTTCCCCTTGCGTTCCTGCCTTAAAGCCACCCAAGCATTCACTTTGGATATAAGTTCTCTGTTTAACTAGGCAATGAAATTTTTTATATCATTCATTTACAAAGTGCAATGCAGGCACTCCACGTCCGTTGGAAGCACATTGGAAAGTGTCAACTTTGTCTTTCTTTAGTGAACAGGAGTCTTGAGTCCCAAAGAAGCACGAACCATAAATGCAGGATTATAAGTTATATAACACAAAGCTTCTGTTTAAACTAGCAGTTGTGTTGTAACAACAAAATGGAACAGGATAGTATTCATATTTCCTTTCGTTCCCTGCAAGTGGCCTTTTGAGAGGTGATAAACACAATAGCTGAAGCAACAGAAGGAAGGTTTTAGGAAACAGAAATTTGGTAAGAGAGGGGGCCCTGTTTAATTTTGGCCGAATATCGAATTCATTTTAAGGAAACATTTTTGGTTTAACGAAAATCTAAAACTTGAATTAGTATTAAGCACAGATGAACATTTTGTAAGCTACCTTAACATTCACTCTTCCATTCTGGAATGCCATTTCAGACATAAGCTCATACACGATAGGATTTTGTTCAATACCTTCCATTGACATCCCAACACCAACCTGAAAAGCAACAATGGAGTAGAGCAAAAAGGAAGGATAAAAGCAGAGTAAAGCAGCAACTCTAGGGACGATAAAAGAGTAGAACGTATTGCACATACTAAACGATAATCACATATTCGAAACAGGTTCCACAAAGAACTGAAGAGTATGAATCTGGTAGAAAATTGGGTGGTCAACCAATTCCAGTGCTTTATGCATGCAATGTTCAAGAAGTTCCCAGAAAATATGTGCAGGTTCATATTTAAAGTCAAGCTTATTAGAGTGTACGGCGATTAAGATGGAAAGGCTATATGAACCATATTTCATAAAAAACAGCCCAGTAAGGACGAAGTCTGGAAACAAATAATAAAAGAAAAATCAGGAACAGAATAAGAATGATACAGAAAGTTACCATAGTTGAGTTTTCACTGGTTCGAGCTTCAACAGGTCCCGACCCAACTGAGTCTAGAATACCATACATTTCAATGTTCCCAGCAAAATTATGCAGCATACACCTGAACATTGAACGAAGAAATTTAGCAAGGGGAACATTACATTATGAACATAAAACACCATAAACTTAAATCTTGGCAACAGTGGGATACTAATTCAAAACATGAGCATCATCAACTATAAAATATTCTTAGATTTAGCTGATCCCAAAGCCTAACATGTTCTTATTACCTTTCTTGTATTCAGTTACCTTTAATTCCACATTTACCATAATACCTTGGCTTTTTGCTGATAGAAAGTGAGCTTATTGTTTAATATCTAAGCCGAAGTGGTCGTAGAGGTGAGGCATTCAAGGAAGAAGCTGTCAAGACTTCTAAAGGCTGAAAACATATTTGACCAAACAAAACATGGTAATTGACATTTGGGTACTACCAAAGCGAAAAAAATTAGTAATCAGAGCAATCAATAGTTCGAAACTATTCTGTTTTTAACACATAATTCATCCCGACCACAGTGAGTCCCAAGCTCCCTTCAAATTCATTTGCACTATAGGACATTGATTTTTGTTCTTAAGTGAGACCTAATTACCTACGACTTTTGATTATTTAAACCATAACCTATTGAAATTTGAATAGATAGTCGAAGGCTATGGCTAAGATAATAGTTTGCCAGTTCAATAAAGACTAACATATAGTCACTAGAACCCCTATGGACTAAATATGAAATATATAATAATGACAAAAAAAAATGAAGTGTTCTTAATCAGGTAATTGATATATCTTTGTATCATTTTTAATCAGGTGATATATTTTTAATCATTTAAAGGAATTAAAATGGAAGAGAATCACTTTCCATATGTACGGAACGCCATAAAATTGCTCTGAGGAAGACCACAATGGTTTTGCTTCTGCAAACAGATCTAGGACAACCATCTTTCCCACTGGAACTGAATGTAAGAGTGCCTGTAAGTGTCATTCAATAACCTGTCAGTGTCCTTCAATAACAAGGGCATTCATTTTCCATCTTATTCAACCAATCAACAACAACTACGTACCCAGTATATTCAATCATAACCAAGGAACTAAATCAGAAGATCTTGAATGGATATAAAATAGGTGTTACACACGGTATTCCGTTTAGCAAGTACATTTAAACTCCAGTCCACACTTTTTTATATTAATGCGGACAAAAACGAAGAAAATAATGAAGAGATCCTTCATACAAAAATGTTCTCCTTTTCTCATGCCTCTCCACTTACTCCATTCATTTACTATTGCCATAACATATGACGAGTCAATTCACATTTAAATGCAAGTACATATGAATAATCGGAGCTCACACCCAGAAAGATCATAGTCTTAGTATTAGAATAGGAGCATGGCGTTGTGGTATAATAATATTTAGTAATATTTAGTAAGACCTACCTTCATCTGTGGTGGCTTCCAGAAAGGATCATAGGAAAAAAGCCATCCCTGGTGGAAAATTGACTGGTTAGAATGCGGGAAAAATGCTCTCAAGAGAACTTATAAACACATAACATGAAGCAAATTAGCAGAGAACCCTAAGACACAGCTAGAATGTACTCATCAAACAACTAAGGAAGATGTGATGTGACACACAGATGGAGCCATGCATTTCTCCTTTTTCATAAAGATTAACCCAGCCCATATATATTTATGTACCTGCATAAGCCAAACAGCATGATCATCGCCACTTTGCATTCCCTTGAAGATTGCGGCCCCCAATGATGATATGAAATTTGGATCATCATTAGGTGGTGTGTTCTCATCAAAAGTATCACTGTGTCGAGAAATTTTCTTAAAGTTTAGATTGTCTGTACTATTCTTACTTCCAAAAAAAAAAAAGAAGAAGAAGCCTAAAAAAGAGTATTCCCTCAGTCCCATTTTGGTAGTCCAGTTTGTTGATATGGGACGATGGGACAAAGGGAGCATAATATTTTATCAAAAGTCACAGCTATTCAATCATGAATGCAAGAGGATAGATACATCTTTTGGCTTCCTATTTAAAGTCTCCACATGGCATAAGCAGAGGAATTGATCAAGTTTACCAACAATACTATTTTACTCTACACCTTCTGGAATAAAATTACGACTGAAATTAAAATCTCTGCAAAGTGATAACTTCTAGCTGAACTTGGTCCCAATGTAAAAGTAAAAACTACTATGCCTTGAAGAACTCCAAAACAAGAACAGCTGTAATCAACCAAGGAGTATACGATCTGCTCAACTTCAGATTCTACGAAAACAAATTCTTTTACATATCAGAAATTTTTTGGCTTGGAGCTGGTATTACAATTTGTTTTTTAATAATAAGTAATCAGGTTTAATACTATTGATAAATACATTTTTTTTGGCTAAATAGATACATGATCCTCATAGAACAAGTAGTCTTCCACAGCCAATCCAGAATTTCAGATGTAAGTAAAGGGGAGACCAATAACAAAAACATTATTTCAATTCCTTTTGCCTAAAGAATCTCAAAATTCATTTAAGCAATAATTTTTCATCCACTTAAGAGATATAGCTCTTAACGAGTGAAACACTATTGATTTGACAAGGAGAACATGACAAAAATTTGCTCATAATCAAATATATATGCTAGATTTCAACTAAGATGTTATCATATTAAGATATTGTCTATATTAAGATATTTCTTAGGCATGACTAAGGCCCTTTTGTAGACAATGGCCATACAACACCACCGATACGAAGATACTCAAAAGATTATTTCACATAACGAACGAGAGTTCATGAGGTCATTTTAATGTACATGAGACTACATGGATAATCCCGCTCAAGTATATCTTAGACAAATTAGCCGTTGTCCATTAAATAACGGATTTCGAAAAGGTTGCCAAGGAAACATTTCGAAAGCACGAGCTAGCACAATAGTCCATCTCAAAACCACTTAAAGAAGAACTTACCAATTGTATATGTGGCTGCTTCTTCCATATTCTGACCAAGCACATATATCCAAATACAGAGAAAATCAGATAAAAAGCAAGTCATTGTAATAAAAAGTAATTGAATATTAACCTAAAGCAGTAAAAAAATGTTTTACCTTTTAATTGTTGCTTCACAAATGCTTTTCCAATTTCAATGAACAAGGGATCGGTTGCATCAAGAAGATAAGTACAGCACCATCTAGGATCACCATGTACAGTAAACCTAAGGATAACATAGATGATTTGATTCTTATCACCAAGAAACATGACAAAATGTCTCAAGAAATCTGGTCTAGACAAAAATAAGAAAAACCAAACTCTTTCGGCAACCTGGAAAATCACCTTGATACACATACACTGAGAGTAGGAAACAATCAAGAAAACAAGTTGAAAATGACAGAAATATTAGGAAAGATTTTTGACAATTCTGAAAGGCCATTGCTCATCATTCCAGCACATAAGTATGATTGTCTATCATAGTACCAAAACAGATTGTATAGGATGTAACATTCTAGCTACAGTATGTGCATATGAAACCACGACAGGAAAATGCTCCATCACATCCTTAGCATTCTCACAAAGTTAAATATGCATTGTTTGATTTAGTGAACATATACGTTAAAAAAAAATAAAAAATAGAAGAGTTTATTCTCAGAAAAACAAATAGCTGAGGAAGGCAGGGACGTGTAAGAAGTTAGCTATTCCCTAACAGAAGTCCACAACAAAACTATCAAAATGAAAACGTGTACAAGTAAATTAGGCATAATTTTAATGGCTCACATCAGTGAAACAGTGGAAGTCTTACCAATTTCCCAAATGTGTAATCTTTGCCAATGGAAAAACACGTTTTAGAGCTGCTGGAACATTGCCCGAAAAGGCTGGAAGCACTGGAACACAAATGAATACAATGCTGAAAACATGATGTTAACACAACAATAACAGTTGCAGGTACATGTCAAACTTCCTGAACTTTCACTTTAGCTCGATCTGACTATTCTTTCTAGCATTGTCTTAATCAGATTTATGACATAGATTTGAAATCTTTCAGAAGATACAGTGATGTAATATTGAAGAAAAAGAATAATAGGAAAAATAAAGATACTGCACATGTTTGATTGTTGCCTTAAAATTGGAACCTTTGATGCAGCAGTAGTTCTCATTAATTAACGAATAAGATGTACTCTGTCCGTCCCAGAAAAACAGTCCACATTGAGTTTTCAAATTTGTACTAAAACTAGTACAAATTTGAAAACCCAATGTGGATCTTTTTCTTTTTTGGGTCAGAGGGAGTAACTCTTAGTCGGGATGGGGCCCACTGGAATTAAAAAAATGCATTTGATAGGTTTATAGCAGTTGCACCTGGAGTCATTCCAAGCTGGTACATCCTAGCAAGAATTTTCTTCTGAAGCATAAGTTGTTGATCCAACCAACTCTGGGGCAGCGGCCCTCCCCATCTGCAATTTACATACATGTTCAACTAATGTGAAAACAGAATGCGCAAGAATTCGAATTTTGCTACCAGTAATACATCATCTGTCACCTTTCTCAGTTTCTGTTCTAAAACTGTAAGACGCTAGTATAAATTTGGAGGCATGTTTTGTGCACTCCAAATATAATGACTCTTTTAAGGCAGAAAGAAATCTACACACCTTGAGAGATTACACAAAAACCAAACAGAAAGAGTGGATTATATTCATCAATAAAGCACCTTTTTCTTTTTTTTCTGTGATCCCGTTTCAAATTGTTTCCAGGCAAAAAAAAATATTTTCCAGAGCATCAAATTGCCCAAGAGATAAAGCTTCATGCTACAAGGAGCAACAGAAGAGGAGAGTGGGAAAAGGAAAAATATGCGGGGAGTATGAAAAGATGAATTACTTATTTGAAAAATATGTCAACGGAGAGGTTTCATTTTGCATGAACAAGGATTTTTCCAGAAATAACAAACTTCTCTGCTTGGTTTCTTAAGAGGAATCTTATTATGTTATTCCTTCTCTTCGCATTCAATGAATCATAGATAAATCTATTTTGTAGGTTCACCTCCGGTCAATCACTGTACAGTCAAAAGCTTATTAAAAGAATGATGCTAAGTGCTAACATAAAGCTAGAAGAGCTCACCCATGTAAATTTGCCATTCGTGACCATGCAAGAAATGCTGGACCCCCAAAGAAATCATCCAAATCAGAAGAGCTAATATTGAAGTTCTGTTTCGGTAGAGGAACACAAGAAACCGATAATACAGTTAGTTTATGAGGAGCTTAAATAATAGCAAAAGTGCAATAAGAGGACAAAAATCAGCTGACACTTATTTGTTCTTCCATCCAGAGTAGAGATAACAATGAGCACATTTCACCTAAAAAGGATGTCATGAAAATATGAGGATAAAGTGCTCCAATTATAGAAAGCTACAATCTTTTGCCCTCGTGTCCTCCCGATTGGCATCAACGCATTCGGAAGGTTCATAAGAAATGTTGAAATGGTGTTAACTGGATGGCGTCAAATTATACACTAAATATAATATAGAAGTGAAGTAAGTTACCCATAGACATACACCAAAAAAAAGAGGTAGAAGATTACATTTAGGTTCGAATTGATATGATATCTCTAATATTTTAGTATAATCCATTTTATAGCTTGCAATCATAAAAGTCTATCATTACACCTGCTTCATAACAAGCTATAGATTTTCATTTTTTGAAAAGTGAGCTGTCATTTTACCAAACATCGGATCAAGTTTGAGATTGAGTCCATGATTTTAAATTCATAAATCCGAAAAAAATGTTTTTCAAATAGTAAGTAATTTCCATGTGGACAATCCTGAAAAGGTGACCATCTGGTAGGCAATCCCAAAATGGTTTGGTGCTTTTTATCATAGGTTACATATTAAGTTTCAATCTTGTAGTACAATGTTTCTAGGTTTTCTGTGCTTGGTCTTAGCTATAACCAAGGGCAAATGTCGTGGACTTGGTATGGGCTGTAGACAAAGGATCAAGGCACCCTAACCCAACCAGAGTTCAGTGAGCAATTTATGTGAGCTTAAACAGTAAACGAGTCATATAAGAGCTTACATGGGAGTCAAACCTGTTTGCTAGTATTTTTTTTTTTTTTTTAATTTTTTTTTCATATATCCTGTTTGCTAGTATTCTATTTGTTGATAGTAAATAAATCGAGGTCCTATTCGCTTGTACTCTATTGAATTTTTCTTAACTAGACTTTCATATGCTAGCATTTGGTTTGGGTGCAAAACAGCCTCAACCTCACCAAACCTAGTAAAGACGTGCCTCTTGTGAGAGAAATTCCTGCTGCATGAATAACCAAATATGGTATGCAAAAAATCGGTCAGAAGGATATTGGACACACTAAGGAATAGTACCTTGAAGACTTTTTGCCAGATGGCTTCTTGTCCCGTGAATGCTAACGGCAAATTGATACCTTGAAGGGCCATCCAATCAATCTCCTTCTCCCATCTTTCCCAGTTCCACCATGCAAATGTGTCTTCCAAAAGAGATTTCCAAAATTAAACAAGATGATGGAGATATTAACTGAAATTACAAAAAAAAAAAAAAAAGCAATAAACAATGATAAATTAAATAAAGAAAAAAGGTGTCTCACAGCTAGATGTAACAGCATTTTGGTAATAGCTCCAGGGAATAGGTCGCTTTATCAATATCCCAGCATCTTGCATGCGAGGAAGAAAGCCTGGGTTTGGAATTGAAGCCAGCTGAGCTCCACCTGTTTTCGTCCAAGATATATGTGCTCCACAGCAATACTTTAAGTACCAATGAAGACCAGATGAAAGCTCCACACCAGTAGTTCCACTTATCCTGCCAAATGGAGATAGATCTTATTAGTGCTCATTATCCTTCTTTCCCGTCGAATTCCCTAATGCCTGTCTTATCTCAGCCTTTCATGTATTTCTTTACTAAAGTACTTTCCACAAAGCAACTCACCAAGTCCTGAAAAAGTCAAATCTACTAATAGATTATGTAGCTCACATGTGCCTCAAAACACATCTGACCTCTTATTGGGTTTGATACACACAAGTGACACCTCAAGTAAATGAAAAGCGACATTGATACACGCAGACAAACAAAGTCAACAAAACAGACGAAGAGATGGAAAGCTTAAACAGAACTCTACTTGGGCTCCCTGTGGTCGTTTACAATCAAGACACGCCTGAAGCATGGGTGATAAATGTTCCACAGAAGGAAATCGGAGAATATGTAGCATTACAGAAACCTTTTTGAAGTAAAGAATCTACCATGATTTGAGATTCACAGGACATTCTGCGAGAACTAAGCCATGGGTAAAACACAGTGCTGGATATGCACAAAGATGTTCTGACAGGGATCGAGGAGACGTGCGCACACTAACTTTAATTTTATCATTTCCCATGACAGCTGGGTCTCAACTCAAATTTACATCGAGAGACTTCGTATAATGTTTCGAAATATGATTAGAGAAAAGCAATGTAAGGACTAATGAAGAATGAAATAAAACATAAAAATGCTTAGAGTTTAGAGTTCAGGTATCTCGAAAAACCATATATCGAATGTGGAAATTGCTACTATCCATAAAAAAACCAAGGAAAGGAGAATTATAAAGAAATAAACCTTGTAGATTTTGGGTTTAATATCGTTGAACCCATTTAGAACCTGTCAATAAGGTCATGTAACTCTGTCCAATAGTTCTGATAATTGTTTTTCCAGTCATTTCAAGATAGATCATTGCTAGAATCCTAAAGGGTCCTAAACCGCCATACTTTTCCTAACAATCTCAGGACTCAGGACTTGAAATTCCCATGAGTTAAGAGATAAAGAGGATTCAAAATAGACAAGATAAACGGAGACAGCCAAACATTGTGCACTAAGTTTTATCTTAGCTGATGATCATATATGGGATACAAAATAATGTGGAACTCACAAGATCTCAGAAGAGCCATCTCTTCCAGAAGAAGGATGATTACTTATTTTGAAACAAAGCTCCCCTCCACAGAGCTTCTGTAAAAGGAAAGAAACTGAAGTGTAAGAGATTTTAACATTTTCACGCGGAAGCAAAATCCAGAAAAGAAGTTGATCACACTAAGCTTTGTTGCATGGTTTAATCTGCAGATATCCTGCATAGCTATGCATGCATGAATCTGTTTTATCTGCAAACTTGAAGAAAAAAGAGGGAAAACATAGGCTAAATTACGAAAGATTCCATAAAACAACTGCTACAGAGCCTACGTAGCTTATTTACCATATGATATGCAAATTCCAAATAAGTGCAGTACACATCATGCATAAAGAAAAGCCAAAAAAGAAAATTTATTTGGCTAATACTCAGTGGGAGTTATGACTGCGATACTTGGATAATCTTATCCGAGGGCAAAGCACATACAGAGCGGAACATAGGCACAGTATTGTTGTAAATTATACACGACGCTGAACAGTTGGTTAAATCATCCTTAGTACATTGAAGGTTCCCAGTGCATTAAGCCAAAAAACAGGAAAAGAAAAGTTATCAATGCAGCTAAATCCATTATGACAAGAAATGAAGGCAAATTTCAAATGTAATTTGGTCATTCGTTGTGTCAACATCCATTTCTTTCTACTTCTATGTCTATAACATTTCATCCCACGAACTACTCGCTGTCATAACTTTCTTAAAGTCTAACAAAGAAATAGATTTTTCTTATAAAAGAGGCCAAGAATTGAGCAGGTATGCACAAACAATCCTGACGAACAAGACTTAAAAAATGCAAGAATGTACGTAACTGCGCTTGTTTCCAATCAAATGAACTGGTTATTCATATTTATTTTCATTTTTCTACTCTAATGAATTAGATATTCAACACGGTTTAACTAGTCTCTATGATCAAAATGAGAGCAAAGAGGAGTGCCTGTTGAGTACCTTGTCGATAATTTTGAACTCAAAGCTTGAGGCATGAGAAGGAATGAGGCGATTGAGGACTCCATAAGCTGCATCAATTTGCACAGACGGAGGAGCTCTCTCTCTTTCCTGAATCTCCAAAAGGCGAGAGATGTAGCTCACTCCAACAGTCGATGATTCCGCCAACGGCACCGCCGCTCCGAGGAAGAAAACGAAGCAGCAGATGAACGGAAAAACATTCCAAACCGAGTTTGAGCGTAAAGTCGACATGGATTCTGGTCGAATTATTATCTTGATCGCAATAACAATTGGAGTCGTTTATAAGAGTAGAAGTGATCATTCCCGCCGGCGTAGCCATTACCGCAAGGTGGCGATTCTTTTTATATTCTTTAGAGCCGGCGGGGAAATGAGGACAAAAGATGTTGAGTGCGGCCGTAGCTCTGTGCTATTAAAAGACAAACGGACAAACAATGAGTCACGCTCACAAGTCACAGTGCCACACCAACTGCTTTGGAGGAATCTCTAGCTTATATCGAGTATATCGGAAAATTTGCATATTCGGGCAATTTTTTTTATAATTTTATTTTGTTATAAATTAACACAGTACTAAACTAGCAATATGAAACTAAGTATAATAGAATATAGAGAGATAAGACACTTTATATTGATGTGTGTTTCTGAAACATGAATGACCTCCATATTTATACATGAAGGAGGGGACCAAACTATGTTAACTAAATCACTCTATCATTTATGTTAAAAATTACAGAATTATATCTCTCTGATTGTGAATAGAATGACCCATATTAATTATGAACATTCAATCAAATCAAATCATGTGTTTTCATAACACTCCCTCTTTGGATGTACATCTTTCCGAATATGATGCCGCTTCGTTAAAAACGTCACTTGTGATCTTCTCGGCGTGCGCTAAGATGTTGACTAGTTTCACCACTGTAGAAATTGATCACGTATAAAATCTTTTACACAATCACCTCAGTTTCTCATGTAACAATCATATTCATATACCATGTGTAATCTTGAGTGTTTTATAATAACAAATTATATCCATAGCCATTACTTTGAAGATATCAATGTACAATATCCAAATCTTAACTAATTGATTAGATAACTCAAAATTTTATATGGTACTTTAAGACCAAGCCGGTTTACATCATCAACAGAAAGTCAAGAAGAAGGACATATATGCATATCAATATGTTAATAAAGTGCGTTCAACATGTGTAAAATGTATAATACAAAGGTTGAATTATTTAAATTTATATTCTACTCAAGATCTCTTATTATTCTTGCTTCAGGCAAGTTTTAACTTTTTGAAATTCCTTAGAAGTGTTAATAACAATGATATAACTCTTCAAGAGTTTTAATGATATTAAGACTATTCGAACTTCGTGATAAGTTTCGATAATAAGTTTCGATAATATTCAGCATTTTGAAACTCTACCGAGTTCTGCAGGGAAATTACAGCTTGTCAACTCTGTTTTGATGGCCATTAGCAACTATTGGGCTTCGGCTTTCATACTACCTTAGAGTGTTGGTCAGAAAATTAATAGTATTTGTAGAAGTTTCTAGCGGGGTATTAAGGATTCAAGAAGAAGTATGCCACTTGTCAGCTAGAACCAGGTTTACAGACCGAGAAATGAAGGAGGACTGAATGTTAGGGATATAATGGTCTGGAATGAGGTTGCCTTAATTAAACATGTGTGAAACATTGCTTGCAAAGCATATAACTTGTGGATAAAATGGCTACACGAGAAGTATATGAAGAAATGTGACTTTTGAGAGCTTGAACTGCAACAAGGTTCCCGTTGGCACTGGAAACAGATCTTGAAAATTAAAAATAGGATCAATGAAGAATTTACATAAGGCACTCAGCCACAGGGCAGTACACCATTAGCTTTGGATACAAATGGCTCATACGGGAGGGAAGTAAACTGGCAGCTGCAAATTTCATTTGGTCCAGGTATAACGTCCCTAAACACTCCTTCATTGTATGGCTATTTTGGAATGACAGACTCTTGACAAAAGATAGATAAGAAAAATTGAATATACTTAGAGGAGATGCTGGTTGTTATTTTTGTAAAACACGACAAGAGACAATCTTGCATGTTTCCTTTGAGTGTCAATTCCCAACTGAGATAATGAAAGAATTGCAATGCTAGTTGGGTATTGGACCTTTGTCTTGTAGTCACAGGACTCGGAAAGAAATAATTTTAGTAATATGGAAACATACCAAGTTAACGAAGAAAGTGTTATATGCAGTAATGAATGCAGCCATTTACCATATATGGCGTGACAGAAATGCAAGAGCTTTTGGAGATAAATTCAGAAATGTGCAAAGAATTGTGGCTTGTATCAAAAAAGAAATACAGTGGAGGTGGAATAATGTGCCGGTAACTGAAAATCAACTAGGGATCAGGTTTTGATGCAGGAATTTTTCAGTTTGCAAAGTATACAGATTAGTTTAGAGATTGACAAGATGTAATAGTGTTTATTTTTTGTTGTAAATATGCACTTCAACGAGTTTGAACCTTAATATATTTACATTTAACCCAAAAAAAGAGATGAAATTAATGACTAAGAACATCTAAAAGTTAGAGTTAGAGAGGAGAAATATCTTTTGTAATTTTTTTTTTAATTTATAAATGAGGCACATGTGTTGAATGATTACTACCAAAGTTCACCTGTGTATAGTGACAAACTTCCTTTTTTTTTTTTTTTGTTAGACTAAATGTTACACCCGCACATCGTACTGGGTAGTTTATAATGTTGCTTTATAAAATATTTATGAAAATAAAAAGCCTTTATAACTCATGTAAATTAATCATAAATTGTGAAATGGAAAACAATTTTTTGCGAGTTTCATTTTTTTTAAAAAAAAATCTTGACTGTAGTTTTGGGTTTCAGTTTTAAATTGATGTATTTGACGGAGTAGTAATATTATACTCTCTCCGTCCCATAATTATTGTCCAGTATTAGTTTTCATTTCTAGTTCAAATTGTACTAAAATTGAAATCTCAAAGTGGACAATAATTTTGGGACGGAGGGAGTAACTTTTTTTAGTGATTTGGCCATTTGGGTTTATCACAAATGAATCTGGACATTTCTTTTTCGGTATTTTTTTTGTTTTTTGCTTTTATAGAACAGAGTGTTTTTTTTTTTTGAATAGATTGTAATAATGACTTAATAAAGGACTTGAAGCAAATTTCATGAACTTTTTTTTTTTCAAAAAAATTTGAGGAAATGCCGCATATGATTTCTGCTAATGTGGCACCTTAGGAATGAAAATAAATTCCTCTCTGGTTTGTTCTTTATAATAAACTATAGATAGATAGATAGATCGATATATAAATAGATAAAAAAGATTGTGTATAGATTCACAACAATGCAGAATAATATCAAGTCAAAAATTAGAGCCTGATCAAAATAACAATTAGAGCGATTTATAATAGTAATAGTGATAATTCCTTCCTGCGTAGCAATTACCGCAAGATGATGATTCTTTTATATTATTTGACAGTGGTGGTTCTCCCATTAGGAAAACTAAGAAAATTGTGTTAATCCAAACATTTACTCTAGTCGTCGATTCAGTTCAAATATTTATTCATTGTCAATTTCATTCAAAGGTATGAGTTTTGTCATCGATTAAGTCTTTTGGACGAGAAAACCCCTAAAACTAATTGGAATTAGCCCCAATAGGTCAGAAATTTCTAAAAGATTCTCCTTATGGTATAAAAAAATTATAAAAAGTATTTTATTTTTTCTTTTTTTCTTGTTGTTTTTCTTTTTCTATTTTTGGGTATGCATCGAAATGATATTTCTCGCTTATGTATTGTCATCTACATATCCTCTTAACAAAAAAAAATATATTTTTAATTTCTTTTTCGTTTGAAATGTCAACTACTACTTTTTGAATTTTTTATTTTTCTTTATCAAATAATTATAAATATATAAATTTATGTTACAAATTCACTTTTTCTTTTCTAACTATGTTTCTTTTATTTTAGAAATATATAAATACATACTCCCTCCGTCTCATAATTATTGTCCAGTTTAGATTTTTATTTTTAGTTCAAATTGTACTAAAAGTGAAATCTTAAACTAGACAATAATTTTGGGACAGAAGGAGTATATAATATATACATATATTTAACTTATTTATTTATTTTCATATGATTTAGAAATCGTTCGTCATAACTCCTACCCTTGAAACTAAATCAAATTGTGATGAGTTTACTATAAAAAATACAAAAATATCAAATCTCATGTATAAAGTGAGTTGCATTAATTTGTCAATTTTGATTAGTGAATGTGGCATTGAAAGTGATAGATTGATTTCTTATAACGTCAGTGTTAGCTACAACGAAAAAAAAAAAGATTGTATGGAATATTGAGAAAATATATGAAATCAGATCGAGGAAAAAAAAAGAAAAAAATTAAGAGTTTTTAATATAAAGGAAACAAATAAATAATTATTAGAAAAATTGAAGTTGTAACATAATTTTGTATATATTTACAACATATAGAAAAAGCAATCTCTTAAAAAAGATTTATAATATAGGTACTTTATGTATATATAACAGATAGGAAAAATAAAATAGAAGTTGATATTTCAAACTTAAAAAATAAGGTAAAATAAATTTTTATTAAGAGAATATTTAGATAACAATAAATAAATAAATTGAGAAATATCATTTTGATACATACCAAAAAAAGACAAAAAAAAGTTTTAAGATAATTTTTTTGTAATTTCTTTTATACCTTTTGAATATCCCTTTTACCCTATTAAAGCAGAAGACATGAAGCTTATGTGGCAACTACGTATGCATCTGTTTTGGCTCCAATGCACCATATTTCAGATTTCAGAAGTTTTTTTTGCCACGTGTAAATATCTTTTAATTAGAAGCTATATAATTCTTTTTTAAAAAAAAGCACATGTTTTAAATGTGACACTTATCCAATGAAAAAATTCTACAAATAAGAATCAATTACATTTCAAACGAATGGATATATTAATTCAAATTCAAATGTCCAATCGTACAGTTTTGCAGGCTTAATATAAATAAAAAAAAATATAAATCCAGTAATTAAGAATAATGCCTTATAAACTAATTATTTATTATTCCCTTATAACCTCAGATTTATAGGTATATTTTTTTAAGCCCCAAACCATAGCATAAATGATATATACGCCAAATTAATTCCTCAAAAAATAGTAATTCAATTAGATTTTAATAAAATAGTAATTT